CTGCCCTCATCATATATAAAAGCATGCAAAGCTCCTTGTCATTGGTTCATTTTTTACTTTCGCTTTACAGATTCTTGGACAAACGTTTTATGCAAGCCGGCAGTTTCATTCTCTCCAAATATATATATATTTGATACTTCTGTTTCAAGTTCTAAACACACCGAAAAGAAAGCAACAATTCTGTATTACTTTTATATATTTATATATATATATATATATACACACACTTAGTCTCGTTTGTATAGAAGGTATTATAAATTTTGATCCCAAGACATAGGTGCAGTGTGTGAGTAAAAAAACCAATGTGTTCTCCCGCTACTCTCGGTATAACAAGCTTGTAAGAAAAAACACGGCCTTATGGTCCACCTGGATACGAAGTAATTCTTGCACAAAGGTTGGGTAAAAAAATGGTGATCATTGACTTGGCCATTCTAGCTCGAATCTTTTTGAATGTTTGTAGCTATAAGATCCACCAATTCCCACGAACCACGTTAGCCATTCTTCAAAAATAAAAGCTCAGGAGATATGAATTACTGAGAAAGTGGACGGCAGCCATTTGTTTCTTTAAACGCTGAATCTCTCAATCCTACAGAAACTTTTGGGTTCCTTTCTTGTACGTTGATCAAACGAGTCCATTGGGCTTCTTCCTAAAAAGTGAAGGACCTGCTCTTGTGAACCCAATAAAGATTTGAGTCGTTACAAAGTAGCGCAACATTGAATTGGATTCAAAAGATGGTTGGAATGGCAGCGCTCTATATTGGTCCATGTTCAAAGTGTATCAATCCAAGGTCTCAATGAAGAAACTGAACGGTGGGCGTCAGTCGCCATGAATGGACCTCAGCAATCAGCCCATAATGTGAGTACTCCTTCTTGAGGAACCCTCTCTCAAACAACCCTGTTTTCTTTTCTTAGCTTTAACCAAAACTTTTCCGGTTCTTCTGTTCGTGGAACACAATTTCATCAAGCTATTTTACGGGCTGAATTTGAACGAAAGAACCCGCTAACACTTTAACTTCAAAATCATCCTCGTTGAATTAATCAAAAGATTCAAAACTGAAACTAGAAAAAGTACGTTTCTTTTTTCTTTTACGAATACAACACAACATATATGTAAATCTTTTTGAGTCATTTGAATTTGGGATCACCGAAATTTCTGTGGAGGGACAAAAAATTCTTAGATTCATGATCAATCAAAACTTGAATCTCTTAATTGATCAACTTGGAGATTTTGGGATATGGATTGAGTTGAGATAGCGAGTTAGGAACCAATTGAGGTCGTAGCATGAGAATTGGAATCCACAGAAGAAATGAGGAAAGATTCATACACGTATAGCCCAAGCTAATTACATTCTCTTGGTCTTGGACACTCTTTTCAACACTCAATTCTCTATTAAATAAACTCCAACCTGTAACCTGCTATAGGAAGTTTATTCTCTATTTTTTTTAATCCTTCTTTTTTTTTTTAATTGTAGAATTTAGAAGATTTAATTTAGCTTTCGTGAAATAAAAAATGAGGGGAGACCAAATATAAAACGAGTTAATGATTGAACGGGTCTCTCATTTTTTATTTTTTTTTCTTAAATTTATTTTTCTATGTTTGGTTTTTGTATTAATTTTGTCATTCCGTTTTTTCCTATCTTAATCATCCCTCTATATTATTTTTCCATCTTAATCTTGTTTTTTTTTTTTTTTACTAAATTTAAGTATATAAATTTTGTAAAAAAAAAAACTAGAAAAAAAGGTAAAGATATATCTAGTTATTCTCTCTAAAATAAATAAAATAAAATAATGGTGAAGTTAAAAATATTTTTGATCATCCATCATCCAAAATATCTTTGTGGATTTAAATTTATCTTTATGATTGTAAACAGTTTTTAAGAGTTAAATAAAATATTTTTTAGTATTTTTAAAAAATATATAAAGAGAGTTTTAGTTAAATTTTTAAATGGTATTTATAATTTTATAATATCTCAAACAAGTCTATTATAATTTACTTATTTTTATTTTTTTTTAATTTGACTCTAAAGTAGGAATATAAATTTTTGTTCGTGTTAGATCCAACACTAACAAATTTCTTAATTTGACTAAAATTCGTAATAAAATTTATAATCTCATTTTTTAGTCAAATTAAAAATTTTGTACAATCAAAATAATTAAATTATAGTAGACTCTTTTGAGTTATTATAAAATTATAAATACCATTTAAAAATTTAACTAAAACTCTCTTGATATTTTTAAAGAGCATGATTGGATATGTCTTTACCTTTTTTTCCAAAATTAATTTATTTAAATTTAGTATAAAAAACAAGATTAAGACAAGAATTAAAATAAAGTAATGAGATTAAGATAGAGAAAAAAGGTTAACACCGTTAATATAAAAATTAACAAAAAAATGAGATTTAGACAGAAATAAAACGTAGAAGAATAAAGTTAAGTCAAAAAGAAATAAATAGAAAAACACGAGAAACAAAAAAGATTATAAAAAAAAAAAAAGACCCCTGCAAGCATTAATTCAATCTAAAACCAAGATAGTTATCATCATAAAACGAGACTTTATTTTGTTGTTCTATATTCCCATTAAATACAAGAAGAACCAAGCTACACATTTCATAGCCAAACTAGGAATAATTTGTAGGAGGTATTATTGACTTGACAATATGATAATGCTTACTTGACAAGGCATCCATAAGAAACTGCTTTAATTCTCGTTGCTAGTACAACAATGTTATTACACGAATTCGTGTTCATGAACTAAACTAATAAAATTTTTACACATTATTGAATTTATTCACATTATTTTATGACAGATATATCATTAATTATTTCATTTCTTAACTATGAATGTGCTATTTAATAAGAAAAGATTTACATTCTAAACGTGATTTATTAAATAAATAACTTGGATAAATTTAATTTATTTATGTTGCACTTGTACATCAAAGAAAAAATCTTTTGGAATTTCAAGATAAAAATATATAGTTTTCAAGAAAAATAAAAGGTACATTAATTTATATATCAAATTACTTAAATAAGCTCATCGTTAATGCTAATAGTCATCTGTCTCAGCAGTAAAAACAATATCCTACCGTTAGTAGCCAGTGAGAGAAGACTGAAGCAGCAGGACACCCCGGAGTGCGTACCGTCTCCTGGCAGCATAACACATTATAAATACACCAATGTTTTTTTTTTTCTGCATAAATTAGTTTAATTTTAATTCTTTTTAATATATTAGTTTTTTAAATTATCAATTAATTTTTTTATTAAGTGACGCGTGTTTGTTACTTTTAAGAATACTAAATTATAATTTTATCATTTTTTTCAATCGAATATATAAATTTTAATTTTTTTATTTGAGTATATTATATTTTTTAAAATTATCAATTAAGTACTTTTATCAATTGATAAAAAATAAACAATATATATTATGTTTTAGCTATATATCCTGAATTAATCTCAATTATTTTTAAGCATGAAAATCAAAGAAAAATATAAACATGAGATTTTTATTATCAAGAAAATTTTATTTCAAGTGAGCATTTAGAAATAAAAATTCACTCCCACAATATATATATATATATAATTTAGTATTCAAGAGATAATGAACACGTTACGAATTAACAAAGAAATGGACGCAGGCACTTGATTGATAATTTTTTTAAAAATTAATGTATTTAAATGAAAAAATTAAAATACAGGGACTCGATTGAAAAAAATAAAATTATAATTTAATATTTAAAAAATAACCGATAAATTGTCACTCAAAAGAATAACAGACCAAAGTAATTGATTAGCCGTTTAAAAAAAAAATAACAAATGAAAAAAAATATAAAATCTACATACTCAATTAAAAAAAAAAGTTAAACTTTAGATATTTATAATGTAATTTTCCCATTTTCTTTCCCTTGCACAAGAAAAATTCAGAAGCTTTTTTTTTTTTTGAACGACATAAAATGTTAAGACGTAATAATACTCAGAAGTAATTAGTGGTATATAAAATAGTTATTCTATGATCTCACTTGAAAAAAAGAAATAAAAAAAAACAAGAGAAAGAAAATTAAAAAAAATTAAGCGAACATAAAAATCTTCTTATCATTTTTTGTGAATTCGAAAAATATTTTTTTTAAATGAATTTACATAGTAATTATTATATATGTCATTAATTATTTTTTAAATATTATAAAATTTTTGGAGATTAGATCTATTATTCAAGTCTGATTTAAAAATTCTAGAGTGTACATTTGCAAGCATCCCCATGTGACACCCTTTGTCAACTTGTGATTTATCTTTCTATTTTTAGTACTGCCATATTCGTGCTGTTTGTGTTTAAAGTTTGGAGCTTTTACTGCAACAAAATTAGAATCCCATCAGCCGTCACTGTCAAACACCCAATCCAATGCCTTGTTGCAGTGTCCATTTGATTCTTGTAACAGAGGCCTCTCTATGCTACTGCAGACACAATTCTTACAGCCAACACAAAATTTACTTCTTTATTTATGCTGCCTGGTTGATGGATATATTGAATTTGGAAAAAACTGCATTAAATTCCTCAGTTAATTCTTAATTAATATAAAAAATCTAATCATCACAAAAAATGGGGTCTGTGTCTTTGTTATGCCCCACAAGTAAGTAGAGTAGAAACCCATAGGTCCAATGAATTTATGGATTGGGGCATTAGGGCATCATCCTTGATGCTGACCTTTTGCCCAGTTTTCATCGGCACCGCTGTTTTAAAATTTCAAACGTAGATGTTCCTTTCTTCTGTGACCATTCGTAAGCAAACGTTTGTCAGTTTCCTATCTTAAAGTTCAAATTTTTTGTCAGTGTTTCCATGTGTACCAGTGTAGCCAGAGAGATCAGGATTGTACAATTTCGTTGCAGGGGTCTATGACTTGTCGATTTGGATGATGCTCGTATAAAGATCCATCCTTGACCAACAAACAATTTTCACAGCTTGCAATTCACATGACTAGCTGGCCATCCATTTGAAGTTTTGAACTGAAATGGGGGACATCTCTTCACTTCAAAACACCTCAGTTGGGTTACCCACCGAGGGACTCGATGAGAGAGTGAAGATGTTGCTCAAGTACTTCAAATCAGAAGAAGACATGGGATGTGGTGACAGTTTTGCTGAGAGAGCTGAATGGTACTATCAGAAACGCCCTCAGCTTCTTGCTTTACTTCAAGACTTGTACAATGGGTACACGACCCTGTTGGACAGGTGCAATAGAATGGAAAAAGGCAAGAAACTTAGCAAACATTTCTCATCTTCAATGTCAATCAACCTTGATGATGGTGATCAATATCAAGAAGACAGTGGCGGATCTAGCAGCTGCCAGTTTCTTGATTGGGATGCTGAGAGCTCTCTGTCTTACCAACAACCACCAACCCCCATTCAAGATGGCAGTAATACCACTCTTGGGATCGATGAGATTGTAGCTGATCTTGTAATGAAGAACGTAGAGAACGATATATTAGCAGACCAGCTTAGTGACATGGAGAAGCAGCAGCAAGGTCAAGAATCAATATGGAGGAAAGTAGAGTTGTTAAAGAAACTTCTTGAGGTGTTAGAGTCGGAGAGGATAGTGTTGCTGAATGAGAACGTGAGAATGGGGTACCAAATGCAAGCTTTATTGGAAGAAAACAAAGGGTTGTCATCCGAAGCTATGTTCTTGAAGAGGAAAGCTGGTGAGCTTGCCAGGTGCGTGTTGAAGATGAGGGAGGATCGTAGGGTGTGTATGCTAACTAGGAAAATTGAGGATCTTCAAGGGCAGATATATGGGTTGGAGATAAGAAACAAGGAGTACTATCAGCAGTTGTTGAAGAAAGAGCAGCAAAAGGAAGAGAAAATTGGCAACAGCAGCAGCAAAGATAGGGTGGCTTTTGTAGGTTGTTGCTTTCAATTGGAGAAGCTGAAGCTGAAGAAAAAGAACGAAGTTTATGTTAATAATGGTGATGAAAAGAGATGGCCAAAATGGTGGGACAAGGTAAAGAGCATGGACATGTTTATGTGTGGCTTTCAGTGTTCCCCTTGACGTGCCATGGCTACCTTCCCTGCTCCCACTGCTGCATCAGATGGAGATACAGGCAGCAGCTGATATCATTAGTTCTCTTTTGGCTCATACAAATTAAGTATGAGATAATAGTATCGTATGTCTTATTTTCTGTTTAAGCCTAATAGAAATTGTAATATTTAATCTAATTAAATGTTCCCAGATGCCATTACAGGTTCCTCATTTATGTTTTTGGTCGATGAACAGAAGTTGGATAGAAAAATCTTGATCCTGGCTTGAATTTAAACTCAGTAGCTAGGTTGTGTGAATAAATCCAAACAAAAACCGAAGTTTGCCTAAATTGCTAGTGAAACGTTAAAGTCATACATTTTGATTATGCTGGCCCATTAAACAATTAGAATTACAACTTTAAGATCCTGATATTAAGAGGTTTTATTTGTTTTTTTTTTTTTTTTTGCAAGTAATGAGATAACATAAAGCTGGAGCCATAAACAGGATAGCGTAGGAACTCCCCCAGAATTATGCTACTGCTGCACAGATGCTGCAGATATATATATATATATATTTTTTGAACTAGAATGCTGCAGATATTATCCGTTTCCACTTTTGGGTTTATATCAATAATCAGATAGCAGTATTGTGTAATGACTTTTTTATTTCAATTTAAATATCAATAATCAGATAGCAGTATTGTGTAATGACTTTTTTATTTCAATTTAAGCCTTGAAGAAATTAAGATATTCACTTAATTAATATTTCCTACTGGTTAGCCATTTATGTTTTAGTTAATGATCATTTGTATTAGACGGATAATTAACATTTCTATTGGATGAATTTAACATTATTATTTTGACTTGATCGAAATCATCTGTTCGTCGAGATTTGTTGTTTAATACCCATAAATTTATAACGGCCCCTCAGCTTACGAAGGGTGTTGTCATTTTGAAGCCACCGACAGCGCGACCACCATTCATGTTGATTCACCTTAAATTGCTATAATTAAACGGTAACGATGACTCCCCTGAGATTTGGGAAACTCTGCTTTTATTCATGGCCCCCTTGCTTTATGTACAATCAATACGATAAGGTTTCAAACACAAAACTATAATAGCCATTTCTTAGAGCTATGATACGAGGCCAGGATTTATCCTCTCTGCCGTGATATATTTGCTTTCATTGATGAATATAAAGGAACTAAGGGCAAGTTAGAAAAGAGATCATAGCTCAGACAACAACAGTTGAACCAAAAATGCCACGTCTTAAACAAATTAAGTATCTTGTAACTTGATGTATCTCCTTTAGCTTTTCAACTGTTTTCACCTATCTTTCACATGTGTTGTTGATTGGAGACGAAGGATGTTTTGTGGTTTCCTAACATTCACGTGTTGGCTCGGAAAATAAAGGAGTTCGCTTTCTTATTTTATACTTAATTTTGATTTCAGATGCAAAGAGAAATGAGAAAGAAAATACAGTTGTCGTATTAATTTGTTTAAGATTTGCTGGAAAAAAGGTATGCTTTCAGTATAGCATAAATTTTATAATACATATCGAGTAACTCAGTGACGTATGCAGTAATTACTTCATGAGTCCACTTTGAGGAGAGAAATTAAAAAAGAAAAATTACATTTATACCTATTAAAAATGATAAAAAGATTTCTACAACTCTTCAATTTTTTTTAATTTTCTTTCTCTTGTTTCTCTCTCTCTCTCTCTCTTTTATGTATATCTCTCTTCTCAAAGTTTGAATCGATAAAGTAACTATTATATATATATATATACACTAATTATTCCTAATATATTATAAAATTCCCCGATAACATAAACATTAAAACTAAATACAAAACTTCAAGGGATTGGATTATTTACTAGGGAGTTTTCCTTCATTTTTTGATTTCTTAAGTTTAAATTTTGAAGTTAACAATCAAAATAATTTATTCAATTGAATACATTAGATTGATATAAAAAGTGTATTTTTAATAATGTCGAAAAAGAGATTTAATCTCATTTGACATTCTCAATTTTGTTATGTCCAAAATGATTGATATATCTCGTCCGACTTCAAAAATTAAAACAAAATGAAACCAATTACATCTTATTCAGAATCTCAATTCGTATATGATTTCTCGGCCAAACACCAGGCCGAGATGTTTTGAGTATGTTTCATCCATTCTGTTCTAGATCAAAACAAAGACAAAATTGAAATTTTTATTGGTTTTCATCATAATTAAATTGTTTTTTTTTAATATCCTTTATTTACAATCAAATATCTAATCTTACACTACGCACAAAATCAAGAGTGCATTAAAAAAAATATAGAATTTCAAATAAAACTTAACAGTCAGTTTTAGTCAAGAGAATAACTTCTAATTTTTAAAAATAAAGCGACTAATTATTTAGTGAAATTAGCATACTGTGTGTGAAATTGCAGGTATTTCTAATTTTATATCTAGTTAGACAATGATTTTTGAGTCTTCCAAATTGGCTTTTAATAAAAAAAAAGAAATAATTTGGTATTTTGCTTGTATTGAACACATGTTAACTTCTTTTAAATATCTGAAAATGTTGTAAATTTTGAAATTTATTTTCAAATGATTGACTTTTTTTTTATTTCACTATTTTGAAACTAATTTATCTTTAGATTTGAGTTGGAAATTATAAATTTTAAAATATTACATTGAATTTTTTTATATTACATGTATGCATTTGTATCATATATCTATGATCTTGAAATGGAATGTTGAAATACACCAATATCAAAATATCTCATCACAATTTTTTTTTTAAAAAAATAACACAATGCAGTTTGAAACCAAATTGACAACCTTACCACAAATACCCGTCCTGAAAAAAAAAAAAAAAAAAAAAAAAAAAAAAAAAGCATTTAACGACTGTAAAGTCCAAGCTAATGGCCTAGCTATTACTTGAGCCTCGCAAGTTTTGACGCAAAATGCAAGTTTTAGCAGATTTAAATTGGAAATGCAAAATGAATCGGAAGTCAAAGAAAGGACAGACGCACTGCCCGAGAAGTTTCGTCAACATACTGTGGCTAACACTACACAGCCTGATGGGACGAACGAAATTGCTTCGCACAAGCAGGAGTAAGTAGGATTATTTAGAATAAAGTTGATAACTCTCGAAACGTTTTAACCATTGTTTCTCGAAAAATGTGTCTTTTTTTTCAGCTGAAAAAATCGGAATATTTCTTAAAACCAGGATATCATTGGTACATGAGCATATTCAAAATATAAAAAATAAATAATATTTTTTCAGCATCAATCATTAAATAAATTTTTTTAAAAATATCAAAAGCTATAAAATCAAGTTTTATGAGATTTGATATGATAAAAATTTTATAATACAAATCAGAAAATAAAAACAAATATAATTATAAATTTAAACTTTTTAAACAATATATATTACATCATTAGATTCTATATGTTAAATCATTCAAGTTTTTTAAACTTATACTCTACATATTATTAGATTTAAAATAAAAAATAAATCATATATATATTTCTTAATGATTTAATTGATTTAGATATTTTTGGTAGAGCAAATGTGTGGAAAAACAATTCAATGATTGAAACATATAATTAAGTTTTTTTTATATAAATACATACATCTTGGTTTATTATATTGGTTGGTTAGAGCTTTATACTGATAATATGTTGAAAAAAATAATTATAATGATAAAAGATTGTTACGATAATAATAAAAGAACCAAAAGAAAAGATTATAGAAAAATAGTTTTACTATAAAATAAAGTGGATACAAATGACAACAACTTCAAATAATTATCTCAATCTCTATAAAAACACTTTAACTAAAATTAATAAATAATCAAGTTTATTTATAAGTTTTAAGATAAGAAATAAAATTAGAAGGAACTTGTGAATAGTTAAAAAATATATAAATAATTGAATCAATTGCATTACTCTTTTAATTTCTCATATTGAAAAATGAATTGAATCACTTAAAAATTATGAGTAGTGTTGATACGAAAAAATATGAATATTCATATAAATATTAACTATTTTATAACATTTTTTATATATATAAATATAATTGCTTGATATGACAATTTACTTTAAACTTGGTTTGAAGGGTATAGTTTTAATCTAGTTAAGCCGATTCAAGGACAGAGTTAGAAGAAGTTTCCAGAAGGGGCCCAAACTAATATAACAACAATAATTTTTTTTTTCATCCATTATAAATGAGTTATAATACATAGTTCTACTTTACAAGAAAATGAACACATTATAATTTAAATAGAATAGTATTTTTTAAAAAATACAATTATTGAATAATCTAAAGAGAGAATTAATAAATCAATTGAGATTTAAAAATCAAATATTAGAAACAAGAACGGTATCTAAAACACATTAAACCAAACTTATGAGTGACACTTGTTTGGTGTAGAAGCATTCACTAAAAACTAGGGTTAATAATCTAACATGTCTTTATATAATGACCTTAACTTGTCCTTGTATTCTAAAATGATCCTATTATTTTATATAATTTTTAATTTATCATTCTGATCAATTTTTTTTTTTGACAAAATCAATAGAAATTGATAATGTAATTTGTACATGACCTGTCTTGTTTTTTTCCCCCTCAAGAATCAATCTAAAGAAAAAAAAAATCAATCTCACGGTTTTTATATATCACATAGGTGTGAGATCGATTTTTCAAGGAAAAAAAATTATTTTGCACAAGAGGGGCGTTTTCGTTACAAGACAGGTTATGTGTAAGTCACATGGTCAATTTTTGATAGTTTTATCGGAAAAATTGGTAAAAAAAAAGATTAAAAATGATCTAAAATAACAATAAGATTATAAAGTTGTTTTAAAATAAAAAGACAAATTGGAAACCTAAGCCATCATATAAACACATATCAAGCTATTAATCTCCCCCAAAACTATATAGATCAAAGAGATTTTTGGTATAATTAAAAAATATAACTGCATTTCCTAGTTCATCTTCCAAAATTGTTTATTTGCAATCTAATTTTGATTACAAAGATAAGTGGGTATTTCTTTTAAAAAACATTGATTAATCTTTTTGCTTTCCAATGGAAAGATGAGTAGATGATCTAAATCTATATATATAATAAATAGTTGATTGCCAACGCTTCGTTATGGTTTATTGTTAAAAATCAACAATTTTGTTTATTAAAAAAATACAGATTTAATCCAACAAACCAATGAATTAGCACTTCTTGTAATTAAAAATAAATAGATATAAATTCTCGAACAAAAAAATTAAATAGATAGAAAATATATGTATATGTATGGAAATACTTCTCAAATAAAAAATCACTCTGAATCATGTATCAAATAAAATTTATATAGAAAAAGAGGCACAGAGAGAGAGAGCATATTTAGCAGTGACGAAACGAGAGTCGTGTATACATACATACATACATAGCTAATTATTAGAATTGAATTTGTATTTAATAATTAATTTGAATAAATTCCTAAAATCTTTAGGATTAAAAAAAACTTAAAACTTATCAAAAGTATTGAGATTTGATATATATATATATATATATTGTTTTATTTTTCAGTAAGCATTTTTTTTTATAAAAAATACTAGATAAACAATTCAAATCTCTACAATTTTTTTTGGTGGTATTTTATGTAAGCTTAATCTTTATTTTGTAGGAACTAAAAAATTAGTAAATATTCCTAGCAAATTTTGAATTTTTTTCTTTTAAAGAGTTAGGGCTGCTACTTAGAACGCTGGACTCTGCCCACATTACGGCAAAATAAAAATGAAGCGTTGTTTTTTTATATGGGCCCAAACCGATGGTTACCATCTGAACTATATTTGGGCCAGATATAATCGGGCCCTGAAGTATATATTTTGACCCAAAACGCACCCGAAACTCGAAACGCAATACGAAACGGAAGCCTGACGTTCGCTGCAAAATGCAGAGACAGAGAGAGGAGAGATGGTAAGGAGCACAAAAAAAAAAAAAAAGTGTACGGCAAAAATCTTAAGATCTTGACACGTGGAAATTCATAGCATCTTACCGTCAGATCTACTAAAGCAATCCTCTTTAAAGTGCCTCAAATTCATGGCGAATAAAAAGGGCATTCCCTTAGCGCCGCCTGTAACTGAGAGCTGAAAAAACACTCCTCTCCTTATCTCCCAGAACCCATTAAACAAACCAAGGTAAACCAAAACCCTAATATCCCTAGATTCGTTCATTTATTTTACATTGGCTTTTAATTTCCTTGCTGTTTTCTTTTAATGGGTTTAATTTCTTTTTGGCCTTTAGATGCTAAAGTTTGTATCCTTTTATTCATTTCTACTTAATGCCAGTATATTATTGTTTCTGTGGTTTTTGGTGATATGGGTTTTGCCTGTTGAGGCACGTAGAGTTTGATAGAAACTGTTAATCTCTATCTACGGCTTTTAACTATGATGTTTATGAAGAAAGTGTTTTGTTACTCATAATGTGATCAATTTGATTTGTTTTGGAGTTATAATATCAAGATTTGAGTTAAGTATAAGAATTGAAGTCCTTTTGGAACTATTATTACTGAAGTTTTAGTGATGAATATCTGCTAAGTAATTTGATTAATTAGGTCATCACTGGTTTTGCTATTTTGTTTACTTTTTTTGGTGGAGTGTGTTGCTTGAGTTTGTGGAGCTTGCTTTAGAATCTCTAGTTCGGAAAGAACTTGTTAATTCTTGCTTTACTAGAATTATACCAAAATATGAAATCGAAATTTTATAAGTTATCTTCAAAACCAAAATCTTAAAGGGCTTAATCATGTCGAGGCTGCCTAGGAGAATTTAGTGGATACAATCTCGTCTATTTGGATTGAAGTTCTAGTCTTTTTGCATCAATTCTAATTCCTAAGTTCTTATGATATAAACATGGGTTTTTTTTTGGCCTTTTAGTTAATTGATTTTTGGTCCCATTATTTTTTTCATGTTCTAGATTTTAGGCCAACTTGGTATATTAGAAAAAAAGGTTAAAAAAAGCCTCATTTTAGTTGCTGTTTGGAACTTTTGAGGGAGGGCTGATGTTGGGAAGCAGGGTATTTGATGAAAGGTGCTGCATATTACTGCGAACATGGAATATTAGACTTTTGGTGTTAGGCTGTTTTCTCCTTTGATGATTTCTATATCTATTTTATGAATTTAGTAATTCAATTTGCTCAGTGGTCAACATTGAAGTTTTTAACTTGTCACCTTTTTGTTATGTTCCCTTATCGTGAATGCTTAATGGAACATGCCAGTGATTTATAATCTTGTTGTGGTTTAATCCTTGGTGCATACTTCTCTTTGAATTCCTTTTATACATTTTAATTTTCAGATTTTAATTGGGCAATCCATTGCACAATTCTTTTCTTGCAGATGGATCGGGAGAAGCTTATGAAGATGGCCACTGCAGTTCGCACTGGTGGAAAGGGTAGTGTGAGAAGGTGGGAAGACTATTCCATTGCAACTGTTTGTCTCTCGGTGTGCACGTGCTTTATTTTTGTTTTAATGCTACAACAACTTGAATGTTTTTCTTCTGGCTGGATTGAGGAATGGCCATTGGATGGTCCTGTAGTGTTGCTTGCATTTGGGCATTTTGCATAAAATTCAAACATATGTTTCTATTTAGTAATTAAACTTAGTGATAAAGATAGATCATGGCTACTGTGTTGTATGTTGACCTTTTCTGTTGTTTACTACTAACGAGGTTCTTTTAAATCCATGCTTTTAACTGTAGAAAGAAGAAGGCTATCCACAAGACTACTACTACAGATGATAAAAGGCTTCAGAGCACCCTGAAGAGAATTGGAGTGAGTGCTATACCTGCAATTGAGGAAGTCAACATATTCAAGGATGACATAGTTATCCAGTTTCTAAATCCCAAAGGTAAAGCTGACTACCTTTCATGGGCATGATATATTCTCGTCTTCCAAATCCTGTTGATCAATTAGTAGCTGATTATTATTTTGATTTTAATTTTGCAGTGCAAGCATCCATTGCTGCCAACACATGGGTCGTCAGCGGTGCTCCACAAACTAAGAGTATGGCTCTAAGACTTTCTATTTAAAACCTGGGAATGAAAAAACAAATCTTTTTTATTCTGTTGGTTGACATTTTCTGCTTATCTGGTGGTTAAATGTTCTTGGACTGGCCATGTTGGAGTTGTTTTCTCATAGGCAAATTTACGACTATTGTTAGTTTGCTCATTTTTTATTGCATGATATCTGACATGCAATTTTTTTTCTGTTTTCTTTTCAGAATTGCAAGATATTCTCCCTCAAGTTCTCAGTCATTTAGGTACGCACTTTTTGAGTTTATTCCCTGTAAATGCAATCCATCTGTGAAGTTTAACCATGCTTGGTCTATCTTCTACTCATTTGTTTCTCTATCTGCAGGACCTGATAATCTGGACAACCTGAAGAAATTGGCGGAACAGATCCAGAAGCAGGCACCTGGAGCGGGTGCTGCCCCTGCAGATGCAGCAGCACAGGATGATGACGATGATGTCCCTGAACTTGTGCCTGGGGAGACCTTTGAAGCTGCAGCAGAGGAGGGTAAAGCTGCTGCTTCTTAGAGAGATTTAGGAGGATTTTGTGCTATTTTATATACTTCCCTGTGTTTTTAAAGTGTTACCCATTTTTCTAATTACATCCTTCTTAAGCTTATGTTCTCAGTGACTCTTAATTGTTGTTATGTTGAGGTTTCGCTTCAATATACTTCGCAGAAATTCATGATTGATGTCTACTTACAATGTCGGTTGTTCCTGATTGAATGTCATCACACAGTAACCATGGCAATGCGTGAATCCTTGTGTTCTTAAGAAATAAGTCAGGAAGAGAAGTGTAGGATACATCACACAGTAACCAAGTTTTTTGTAGAAAATAAAAAAATAACTGTAAAAACATATTAATAATTTAGCCTGTTTTCAGTGATATGGTGCTAACGACGTCGTATTTGTGTTACATGGCATACGTTTTATGCCATCACAGCAAAAGAACGAATATTCTGCTTTTTTTGGTTAAAATGTCCGTTGTCTACGCACTGCACTGGTCGTTGGTCACTGCCTCAGTCTTCTCTGTTCTCACTTGAGACAGAGGATGATGATGATGATTGTAAAAGGAAGCCACAGCGTTTTAGCCAATTCTAGCCAATACATCCTCTGGTTTCCGCCATCATCACCAATCAATCAGAAGCCTCTCTACGCACCGCCACCAGTATCAAAACGACACCGTAATCGTCTCACCAAAGCAGCAGCAGCAGAAACGCAAGAAATCCGCGTCTGCACCAACCGATCATGCCGTAAACAAGGCTCATTTCAAACTCTAGAAATCGTGACCGATTTAGCCCCTCCAGATATCACCGTCAAGTCCTGTGGCTGCTTAGGCCGTTGTGGTTCTGGTCCAAACGTCGCCGTGTTGCCTCAAGGAATAATTGTGAATCATTGCGGTACCACCGCTAAAGCTGCGCAGTTTATGGCTACTGCTGCTAATGTTAACGATGGTGATGTAAGTAAGAGTTTGGAAGCACTTGCTTTGAGAAAAAGAGCGCAGGCTGAAATTGATCTTGCAAATTTCTCCAAGGCTGATGAATTACTCTCACAGGTACACAATAAAATTAAATATTAAGAACAAATCCTAAAAGTATTTTATTTATTTATTTAGAGTGAAATGATGGAATGTTGATGGCGACATGATTGTTAATGATGATTTTTGCAGGCTATTGATTTTAAACCATTTGGTGGTATTCATATTATGTACAAATACAGGTCTCGTGCAAGATTGGCAATGGGAAACTACTCGGGTGCTCTTGAAGATGCTCGAGAAGCGATAAGATTAGCTCCTCGATATAGTGAGGTGAGTCAAAATGCTTCTTCTATATTGAATTGATAATGAAGAAGATTTTAGTGATGTATAAAGAAATTTAGAATTTTATAGAGGAGAATAAGAAAGCAAAATAAAAATCACAATAGAACGGTATATATGTCGAAGAAGTGTTGAGAAACATTAATAGCTGATTAGAATTTTGAATCTTCTGTTGTTATTGGGATCTATTTATAAAATTTTATTAAGCAGGGTTACATGTGCGAAGGTGATGCTTTAATGGCGATGGAAGAGTATGATGCAGCAGAGAAGTCATACTCGATGTGTTTACAGATAGATCCTTCAATTCGTCGTTCCAAATCATTCAAGGTATACCTCAATTTCTTGATGTTCTTTCATATTTGTTCATATGTAACCATCTCTAAGATTAGCTTTCTGTTGCTGTATTTTCCTACTTTATTTCTGAGTTTCTGCAATAACTCTGAGTGATTCTTCTTTTATCTTTCAGTTTTTAATGTTAAAAGAAAAATATGGTTTGTGTCAATTGGAATACTCCTGCCATCTGATATTTTATAATTCTTTCTTCGTCTATCAGATTATGGACTTCCTGAAATTTTAGTTTAGTGTATCACATAGTTAATTGCGATCCTTTTTTATGAAATTTTTGTGTGCAAATAAAAGCTGGGATGTAAAATCATACTATTTTAATTGCTTTATTGATATAAAGAATGTCAAATTAAATGAGGCTCCACTTGGCTCAATCTCTTGGGTTTGTTTTGATTTTGCAAGCACTTTGTGCTTGTTTTCACCTATCACATCTAATATTGACCACGAGAACGGTAGCTACACTCTTTCAAATAAAGCTACTTAAAATAATTAAAGGAAAGTTAACAATTTTGAAAGTCCTAAAATTTCCTATAAAGGAAAGTTTATTCTTTTTCAGTGCAAAATGAATGAATAAATTAATCTTCGACTTTGTTATCTGGTTATTTACTGTATCTGTTGCAACATTAGAAAGACTTTGAATTGGAAGACAATATTATCCTAAGATCTGAACTTTAATGGCTTGACAAGTTAGTAGAACAGAAAAGTATGAACCTATAATAGAGCATAGACTACCAAAACAATTCTTTACAAATTTAAAATTTAACTCTTGAGTCTGGACCTTGACACAACGCCATTTAGGCCACAAATAGATTACTTTTCCTAAGATATTCCATGCCACAATGTTGGTCTTTTGAGATTGAGCAACTTTATAACTTACCATGCACTATTTTTATGGCACTCCGGACATGGATACGAGTCTCATACTTCAACAAGGTATGAAATTAAACTTGCTCTTGAATTTATGTTTGATAACTCTCAAATACGTATGTATTGGAAGAGGGTGACATGATAAGCAAAAAGTAGTATTCATGTATGAATCAACTGATATTAGGGATGAAATTTCTCATAATCTGGCATTGCTTACATACAGTGTGTTTATGCCAAAGAAATGAAAAAACAAAGCTTCAATATTTCTTTCTGCCTCTTGCAGACTCGGGTGGAAAAGCTTAACGAGAAGCTAACTGCTGCAAATATGCCTCACAATCAGCATGAATGAATCCACTTACGTATTTATTACAATCTGAGGATTGAAGTCTTGAAGTTTCTCTGATTCCAGGTTTGATTTTCTCGCTTTTGAAAATCTGTCCTAATTGTGTCTCTCTGCATTTAAAGCTTGAGACAAATTATAAAGTTTATACAATTCTACAGCCTAGTTATATTTTATAAGAAATTGATATCCATAGATTTGGGCGTGTGGATTGGATCCACAAGGATTTGTGTCCACTGTATTTTACTGTGGCTGATTTATTACCTCTCTGCATATAAAACCACAAGTTTCAATTTCATTAAAAGGCGAGTAAACAGCTATACATACTTCTACACTGATTGCCACTCTATAATGATATAGGTGATCTTGCCTACAAGCTATCCGTCGATTTTCCTAATATGAAACAGAGTGCATTACAAGATAAATAAAACACCCCGTCCCCAACCACACACACTAAGATGCACGCACAGTACCGCACAAAGCCATGGATATTTTGAGTATCAATTTAGTATCGGTTGGAGGTTGTTGCTTGTCTCGTAAGGATGAATCCATTTCGGGTCTGTAGCGGGGACCTTAAGAATAGCAACTAAAATTGAAAGGTTGATTTATGCAGTGCTTGTATTTCCAGACATAGATGTAATGGTTGGAAAGCTATTGCTAATGATATGGGTGATGTTCGGCACTGATGCGTGCCTGAGGAGCATTTTATTTACACTATTTCCAGACATAGATGTAATCAGTGAATTTAAAAGATATGTTACAGTTTCATTTTATTTGAAGTACTAAGGAAATAGTGTGCATGCCTTGTAACTCTGTACATAAATCTCCGTGCATGAGTGTGTGTGATAATTGGCACTGATGCATGCCTGAGGAGCATTTTGCTCTGTTCAAGGAAGTACATTGGAAGTCAACTTCTGGTCATTTTCATAGAAATCATGCAAGAAGTCAGTCGCTCTTAACCTCTCATCAATCCACCAAATTTTCTGCCTCTCATAAAAGCAGTGGGCTGATTGAGTCACAACCAATGAGCATGTGTGCTTTGTGCATTCTTCTTGTTGAATTGAATTCACTTGCATTTCTTTGTGCGAGCCTCTTTCATAATTGAATTCTGTCAGAGAACAATGTATGTATATGGAAAAATATCATCGTTGATTGCATGCAACACTGAAAAAGACCTAGCTGTTTTTTTCTTACTTTCTTTCTTCTTTTTTTTTTTAAAAAAACAAAATTGTGAATCTAAAAGTTTAGATTTATTTCCACTTGAATTCTCAAGAGAATAATTGAAAAGAAAAAAACAAGAGATTTGTTACCATTTTGAGCTTGGAAATTGTGCAAGTTAGCATTTTTTTCCATTTATGTTTGGACATCTATACACATGCATGCAATTGTCATGATGTATTCGATTCACCAAGGATGTTACCTCTGTGAAACTCTTTTCTCTGGACCTAGGTGGAGGAATCAGCATCCAGTTATTGCTCTCTCTGTCATACCAACTAGACAAGACAGAGAGTGACCAACATAGCACATTTTCTGATATTAAAACTATCAGGAATATTAATTGCATCTTAAACTTCCTTGGTTTTCATAATGTAAGAACATGTTCCTCTGTTGTTCACAGTATGTGACTGGTGTTTTGGAACCCACAAATACCATAGAGCAATTCATGAAATTGCTAGTAAGAGGACTTTTGTTTGATTGAAGGGTTAGATGTTGAAGATATTTTAAGTGTAGGTTCAGGATTGATAGCAAATGAGGTCCAGCAGTTGATTGGGAAGAAAATAGAGAAGAAAATGTGTGGTTCTTCGTGAGAAACGCATATAGAAGTAATGTTAAAGAGCCTACACCTTTTCTTTACAGCTATCGAGCATTAAGACTTTATGGACTTATCCAAGGAAATGATGTAGGTGAATCATTCAGTGCCTTGGTTTAAAATACAGAGTCGTTAACTTTGCATTAAACCGAATGATACAATATTGCTTCGAATTTTCTATGTTTTGACCAGATTTTGTAACATCCGGTTCAAAGTTTCCATCTTGAGCCTGTTTTTACAAAAATCGAACACAAAATCACCGTCTTTGATTTTGAATCTAAGGCACTCTCGATTGTTTCAGTAGTTACCCATATCTTTGATCTCATTGATAGTGTGCAGTGGGCCTTGAATTCCCTGAATCACCTTGACAGTGGAGTTTGCTTTTGAAAAGCAGCTTATTCGCTTCTTCAATTTTAATCTACCATTGTTTTCTCCTTTATAAAGGGTCTGATTCTTTTCCCATAATCATGCGTTATTGAAAAAAAAGGCTTCCTTTTGCTTCTTCCTATTCTTCCTGTGAAATGTTAAGAGTTCACCGGAGTTGGAGAAATTATTGCATGATCAAGAAAATCTGCACATCATCCATAATATTAATAGATTTTCTTGGTACAAGAAAGACCAACAAAACCTCTCCATTTGATTCTAGCACACACACTCTAAAATGCATTGATGAGATAGAAGGAATAGCTCTTTTCTTTCTCAAAGCTGTGATTTCAAGATGATGAGAATCTTTAATGGGTTCAACAACAGCAAGAGTTCCTAGCGAACTCAAAAGATGGAACTTTCCCTTTAGCCCAATTCCATTCGTGGATCGTGGTATTGATCAAACGGATCAAAACAATGGGGATGGTGTAGTCTTCTCTTAACCATCCATGTTTTATCCCTGGCTGCTGCTCACTCTTGTTGAAATATGGATTATTACTGCCTGTCAAAACCAACAGAAAGCAATCTGTCTTCTTGGGATCATTCTTAGGTGAAGTATTAGACCAAAACCCAAATGAGAATTAAAAAGAAAAACTAAACTAAAATCATCGGATAGTATTCACTACATTAATCTTTTCACTCGATCACTTGTATTTTTATAGTTTTTAAATATTTTTAAGATATTTATTATGCAAGTTTTTATAATATTATGCTTTAGTCTTTTTTTTTTTTAAAAAATATTATGTTTTTAGTTTGTAAATATTTTTTATTTGATTTTTGTCCCATATTTTTGCTTTATTTTAATCATTTTGGTCCTTATTTTTTTAATAAAAAATTTTAAGAAAAAAAGATGTTTAGAAAAAAAATTTACAAAATGAGCTTTTAGCTAAAAACGTGGATATAGATAAATAAATAAAATTTTTTAATAATTTTTTTTAAAAAATATAAAGGTTCATTAGTTAAATACAAAATTTTGATTATAAAATGATAAAATTAAATAAATTTTTATTCGGTTTTGATTTGATATATTTTAATAGATATATAATATAAAAAAATATCAAAATAAAATAATTTTTAAAAAATAATTTTATCTGATCAATAGCATAGTGCAGATTAAAAATTAATATACACTAAACCAGATGAGAATTGATACTTGGAATTCCATGGTGGCAACTTATCATCATACCAATATCGGGGCAGGCGAGGATGATAATGCCCCCATTGGATCCCATGGGTGCACCAGATCAAAGTTAATTTTGAAAATGCAAGGTGGACTTCGTTTAACAGCACTTTTGTTGTCATCATCCAAGCGTAGCTGAAGCCATGGTGGAGTCGGATTTGGGGAATGACACTTTGTATGATTCTGCTCTCAATGACTTTGTCACGCCATGGTAACAAATGACAAGAAAATTGGGAAGAACCCCGTGATTAAAAAATACTTTAGATGTTGTAGATAAGTTGCTGTGGAAGATCTGGCCAAAAAAAGAGTAATTGGCCCTCTTCTTGGTATATAATTTTGTAACTTTCTCCATCTTCTTCTTTTTCTTTTCCAATTACTAAGTCAGTGTACGAAAAAAAAAAAAAGCCTGAAAAGGTGGTGATGCGGTAATGCAGGTACGAGGGAGATGATAAATAGTGACCAAAAAAAAAAAAAAAAAACAAAAATATTCAAAACCCTTAACCTCAGGCTTCTTGGCTATTTCTAAAGGCAAAGGCCTTTCCAAATTACATAGAGATGAGGACAAACTTGTCTTATCTTCTTGTTACTATCAACTTCGAAGAAATGTCTCTGATGTTTATGCGGTTGAATGCGTGTAATGATGCCATCGTTGCTGTGGATTGAATAAGACTAATGGTGAAGTTAGGAATTTAGTGGTCGTGGTAATTATCTTCCTGAAAAACACTTTTGAGTGCTGAAAAAAAAAAAAAAAAACTCAATTTAAAAGATTAAAGATGTTTATCATGTATATATTTGTTGACACCACATGAAAGATGTTTGCATGTCAAGTGCATGCCATACATGTGTATATTTGTTGACACCATATGAATTCAATTTAAAAGATTAAAGATGTTTATTTTTAAAGTAAATAACTTAATTTATTTTTATATATTACCTTGAATATATGTTTTTAGGTTTCTAATTACATTTTATCGATGTTTGAATTTTTTTAAAATATTCAATTATCATTTTGATCATTTTTTTTATCATGAATAATTTTTTTGATCAAAATATCGTTTATTAAAAAAAAACTTAAAATCACATATTTTTTAAATCTTTAGATTTATTTATTTATTTTTCCATTTTACTTAAGGATATTTAAATAAAAAAAATTCATGTGAGAAAAATTGATCTGTAGAAAAAATTGAACATTTCTAAATTTTTTAAAAACATATGAGATGTAATTAAAAATTTAAAGACAAACAAAAGATTCAGAATATTATTTAAGAACATAATGAGTAATTTATCCTTATTTTTATAAAGGTATTGTATGGTATTAATATATTTATTTTGTTTATTCTATTATTTTTTTAAGATGCAAATGATGAATATTAATACTATTATATAAAAACCAATACAAAGTTTGTATTCTCTTTCTATCAAGGTAAAAATACTCCATGGTCGTCAACAATTCTTCTTGTTCCATTTTATTTTATTTTATTTTTTAGTTTTGTCCTGTTTTTAATAGTAGCATATTTAGTATTTTTTTCTACTAGATATGATGTTTTTTTTTAAATATCTATTCAATTTATCTAGTGGCTGTCTAATTTTTTATGTTACTTTCTTTAGTTTTAAAAAATTGTTGTTGAATTTTTTTTTTTTTTTTTTAAAGGTTTGTTGGTTGCAATATAAGTTTTACACATAGTGTTAACAGATTATTTTTTAGATCTCTAATAAAAAAAAAAAAATAGTATCAAATGAAAGATTAAGATAGCAAAATTATTCGTGAATTGTCGAAAACAAATGCATTAGTTGTTTGTCCACTTGTAGAATAATTTTTAGTTTTTGGATATGAATTTTAAATATTTAATTTCTGTGTAAAATTTTTATTATATGTTTGTCGATTTTTTTTTTAATAACATGTAAGCTTGATTCACTCTCTATATGGAGAATCATCTTATTGATTGACCTCATTTCTAGATATAGAAACCTTCATCGATCTCTCCCTACAATGAGATTTATATTTTTTTAATAATAATAAAATACAATAAATACATATCACTATTTAAAACATAGCAAAACACTAATTAGGTTGAATAGTACTCATAATGATAAAATCATATATGTATATATATATATATATATATATATATATATATATATATATATATATATATATATATATATATATATATATATATATATATATTTGTTCACAATTATAAACAATGGGAGCCATATAAATTATTTTGATTTTGAAAAATTAAAATGTGCTCAAACTATAAAAACTTATTCTTAAATAAGGTATCAAATAGGCATTGGATACATAAAACCGTGGATACAGACATTTTCTAAGTATATCAAAAGTTTATTGTTTAATTTGGATATCTTGGACAAGTATCCGACAGATACCCAGTCAAATATCTTATTAAATTCAATTTTTTTTTTGAATTATCTTATTAAATTCTAACATGTACTCAAATGGGATATTGGATGACAATCATGAATTCAAATTGAATTACCATTAATTGATGAGAAAAATACTATAAATGAGAAGGTTTGTTTCTCTAGTATTAAAATCTTAAGACCAATTAAAAATCTTTTAAACACACCACGTTGTTGTGAGGTGATACATTTTTAAAATCGTGTGAAGATAAATTTAATTTCAATTAATGTGCAAATTAAATCGAAAATATTATTATTGTCAAATAAAAAATGACATAATAAATAAATAAATGTTTAAATTCAGAACCTTCATCGTAAATAACAAATCCACACAAATATGCTAAAGGCATACGCTGGCTGGACTGTTTTTGTTATTGTTTCCTTAATTTCAAAACAAAGAGGCTATTTTAATATAAAAAATATTTTTGTATTTTGAAAATGAAAAAATAGGAAGGGAATTTAATGGATATTCGACTCGAGATATCATCATGTAAGGGATTGCATTAGAAACAGAGTTTGTACGAGGACAAAATTGAAATAAATCAAGAATGTAAGGATGAAAGCACCAATAACCCATTTCAAACTCAAGGAGAAAACTGTTTCAACTTACTGCAGCTTGTGATAAGCTTTGGTGACAAACCGAGAAAAGAGAGAACAAAAGAAGAAAAATGAGAGGCTGCAGTGCTGCCTGTTGTGCAACACCCATAAGCCTCTCAACTGTTACAATTGCTACAAGGAGCAAACCTCTCTTCTTCCAATTCAAAGTCTTTTCTTCCTTTACTTCACTAACCACCACCTCCATTCACACAGCAACAAGACCATTTTTAGCTCTTTCACAGTCACAACCCAATAAATCAAAGGAAAAGCACAAGATTTTGGAATGCAATTGTGCCGCCATTCCTTCAAGTTCAACTGTAGCAGACCCATCAAATGATTTTATAGTTGTCAATTTCTATCGCTTTGTTTTTATTAATGACCCCCATGAAGAAGTTGCTAAGCACCTCTCTTTCTTAAAGGTTTGTCCTTTCTGTATTTTCCTGTCAAAATTTGGAATTTTTACGCTTGAAGCTTACGTTTCTTACTTAATTTATTAACAGGGTCTTGATATTCATGGGAGAATTTATGTGAATGAACAAGGGATTAATGCTCAGGTACAGTTTTTTTGCACTTATACTTTTTTTAAAGATTTAATCTTTTGATAAAGATAATCATGAGTTGAAATTGGTTTTTGATTTTCATGGATGTTCTCATGAGCAATGAAAAAAATCTACTGGTTATGTCAGGCGCAGAAGCTTGTTTCTGAATGTAATATTTGTGTGTGCCAATGTCTTGGGTTTATTTTGATATAGTGTTAAGATGCTTATTTCTCAGTTTCTCACTTGTTGAGTGGTCACATTGTTTCTATAGTTTGTAGCACGTTGAGTTTTGTATTTTGGGTAAACAGTGGTTTTTTCTCATTCTTATGAAAAATTTCTCTTGAATCCTTCCATGGGATTTAGGAGGAAGAGAGATTACAGGTGTCTTGGGCAATGTGCTGTGCTTGTGGTCATTTTATGTGTTTGGATGGAGAGGAATGCTTGAATAGTTTAACAATCAAAATCTGGCAAAATAGTTATTATGGGATTGAGTAGTATTTCTACCTTCTTTATTGTGTCCTACATTGTGCTTTTAGAGTGGTATTGTTTACGGACATTCAGCTGGATTGGCAAGCGAAATTTCTTCCACCCCAGGAAGATATCTATTTCTTCAATGTGTATTTTATTTTTTATTTATGTTCCTTTAATAGATAGACGAAGAATAAGATCGAAGCGTGTTGATTAAATTAAAATCTCTAGTAAACTATCCTTTTTTTCTGAAATTAAAATCTTTAGTAAAAGCTCCTGTTTTGCATTAAGATATATAAGTTTTCAAGCGTAATTTTGTTTGAACAAGCAATGGATGTCATGGTTTAAGTGTAATGCTGTTTGAAAAAGCCGTATGATTTTTAATCTGTTAAAATTTCAAACACCATCTTCATAGAGTTCTAGTGATATATAAAAGCTAAATACCACCTTCATCCCCCAAATATTTTGGAATATCAAACAAACTGTCCATGAAATGAAGTCCAAAGAATTTTGCCCTTTTCAAATAACATACTTCTCCTTCTCCACAGTTTTAGATAATGTCAAGAGAGTTTCTCAAATTAGGATAACTGGTGGAAAAATTGTAAAGTAATATATATATATATATATATATATATATATAGTATGCATATGTTGCACTTCCCCAAAGATTGTGTTTTTTGTTAAGTGAACTTTTTGTTTTTAATGGTTGTGGAAATTATGCTTTCTACCCGTTGATAATTTCTTAAGCACTGTATAATAGTATTTCCTTCTGATCTTCTCATCCTTGTGCAGTACAGTGGACCATCAAAAGATGCTCTGGCATATGTTGAATGGTTAAGAGAAGATTTCAGATTTTTTGATATACTGGTTCAGATATCTCCAGCATTAAATGGGCATGCTTTCCCAAAATTAAAGCTGCGTTATAAACCTTCCCTAGTACAGGTGACATTTAATTGCACAAATATTCTTGAATATTTTTTTGATCTCGTCCACTAAGTTTTGACTTTTATATGTCATGCATGCATGTTTTCATGTTGTTACTATTATTTCTTCACCAGTTGGAAGGAGGTATTTCACATCTCCCTTTGCTTGACCCTTCAATGCGAGCGACACCTCTGGCACCGTCTGATTGGAGAAAAAGATTGAAAGAAGTACATGACTCAAACTATGTTATACTGGATGTTAGAAATGGTATTTATTTTTCTTCTTATAAGTTGTTCTCAGTTCTCAGTTGGATTTTCTTGGAGGAAAGTGCTATCTTTTGTTATATGTTCTCGTATGCTGTTGATGTTAGTAGCATTTTGTTTGAGTCACTAAAGTGAGCACTATTTCAGGACCATGCTACATGAATTTGGGTATGGGAATCAAATCAGGGATTTTGTTGGACCATCCTTATGGTATTATATCATAGGTTTTCGGTATGAGCACTTGGATAAAAGAACAGAGCTCAAATAAATGAGTCTAACATGTGAAGCAGCAACTATAATAACAAAATATGGTGGCAGGCTATGATACCTTCCATGGGAATTTGCCACTGTTATTCCTTGGTGATGATGATTTCTAAAAAGTGTGATTTGAAAAAAAAAAAAAGGGAAGCTTTTCAATCCCACATATGTAGGATATGGAGAGAGCTGGTATGTTACTCTCCGCAAAGTGGCATTCCACTCACCAATAAAATTGCACTGGTTGTGGCACGGGAGAAACTTGGGTATTTTTCAAAAGGGGGCCTAGCAAGGCAAACTTTTATTCAAGGGCTTCTAAGATGAAGGCATAGTGGGCATTTAATTCATAAGGGGATATATTTTTGAGCTGTCCTGCTGGAACCCCAAGAAACCATCACTAGTAGTGGAGTTGCTTAAAGCTATAATTGGCGTGCCCTTGACTGAACTTGACTTATGTGGTTGGAAAACAAGGCCAGTGAGTTTAAGGTGGGTGTTTGCCTAGATTTCTGGGGATAACAGCTTAGCTGGCTCCAGCTCAACAAGTGAATTGTGCTTAACCTGAAAGTTGGTGGCTAAGTTTGATCCGGGCTTGAAAACATTCTCATTCTGTTTTCAGCATATGTCATCATTCCATTTCAAGTCACTAGTAAATGCTATCAAGCTGCACTTATTTGGGTTTGAAGAAAGCAATAAACTTGCAATATGTCATTGAGGTTCCTTGTGTTTCAGCCAACTTTTGTTGGCTCGAGTATGTGTGTCATCTGTGGGTGTATAGTTAGGTGTCATACTCCATGCAAACATTCTCAGTATGTAGGCAAAATGTGTTATGGTGTAATTTTTTTTTATTTACTGTGTGCTTGGAATTTAGTGATTGAAGTACAATTCTATTGTTCCTTGGACCAGGCTATGAGTGGGATATTGGTCATTTTGATGGGGCTCAGCGACCTGACGTGGACTGCTTTAGAAGCACATCATTTGGGGAATCTGATAGTGAGGAGGTAAACTTAGTGGCTTTTTACTAGCCCATGATATCACCTTGCGAATTTTTTATTTGGTAGTATTTGTAGTAATGAGGATGAGTGACTTGGCAAATTGATTTCCACCCTGAAGTATGCTCTAACACCACGTTTAGGCACTTGCTTTTTTGAATATTCATATATGACAAAAATTTCATTTGTCAGATTCCTATGAGCAGTCTCTTGCTTGTCCGTGTTTCTGTTATTTCAGGCCATTGCCTCAGATCCTTTAGCAAATGTTGACAAAGAGAAGACAGATATATTGATGTATTGTACAGGAGGCATTCGTTGTGATGTATATTCTACCATCTTAAGGTATCCTGCTGTTTCCTTGCATTTCTCTTTATTCTGGTTTCAAATTGCATTTGTGATCAAAGTTTGGCTCATCAACCTGTATCTACATTGAACTAGACTGATCGTTGTGTTGCATTGATCTCTTTTAACGCCTGATCAGTTCTGCAATTACTTGGAAGCTCTAAACAGCTTGATGTACCAATCGACTTTCTGCCAGTTTCCTTTAACCAATTAAAATTTTGAAAAATACTTATAATGGGGAATGAAGAAAGACAGCAATGGGAACCATTTTTTGATTATTTAAAATTCTAAAGATTAACCTACTAAATGGTCCTGATTCAAAAAGGAAACTAATTTAGACTAAACTCATATTTAACTAAAAAAATAATAAACAGTTTCCTTTTTTAAATCAGGACTAAAATCATTAGAATTTTAAATAATCAAATAATAGTTCCCATTGCTGTCTTTTTTCATTCCCCATCAAGGCATATATACATATGGCAACAAAATTTCATTGTATATGACACATGTTAAACGAAGAACCTTCAGATATTTCCATGCAAGTGCTAGGAAGTTAAAGCATATTTAATGTGCTATCATATCCCTTCACTCTATACAAGGGACAAAGTCGAAATGATTGTTGTGCTAAGAGCTATGGCTGATCTTACCAGCATTTTGGTTTAAATGTTAGTTTTGCTTGGTGCCTCTTCCAAATTTGCACTACTTATGGTTTAATTGGACCATTAGATAAATGTTAGTTTTGCTTGGTGCCTCTTCCAAATTTGCACTACTTATGGTTTAATTGGACCATTAGATGGCAACAGATCAACAGATTTGGAGCTTTTGGACTTTCTTTTCTTCTCTTAACATTTTTGGGGCGCTTAATTTTGCATGGCAGACAACGTGGTTTTCAGAATTTGTACACCTTGAAGGGAGGGGTTTCTCATTATCTTCAGAATGAAGGTCCTGTAGAGTGGGTTGGGAATTTGTTTGTATTTGATGATCGTCTTTCTCTTCCACCTTCTGCCTACAACCCCGAGGATACAACTGTAGCAAGTAGCAATCCACAAGGACCTAAGAATATTTTATTTGCTAATTGCTACATATGTGGATCACAAGTCTCTGAGTTAAGACATCGGAACTGTGCTAATATTGACTGCAACCTACTTTTTCTGTAAGTCTGCATCTGCCCCATTTGCTCTTCCTCCTAGTTCTAATACACAAGTAGTGGTAGAAAGCCGAAGCCTACTTGTTGGGCTTCGTCATGTCAAAGCTGTTAACTAACATACCTATGTATTTAAGTGTTGCCAAGTTTCAATTAGCTTTTACTGAGTGAGTTTTACTTACGTGGCCAATATAACCCATTGCGTCGATTAACTCTTTGAGTCTCTTCACAGATGTTGTATGGACTGCGTGAAGGATTTAAAAGGTTGTTGTTGTCTGCAATGCACAACTGCTCCTCGGCTTAGGCCTGCTCTACCCGGGAGTCAAAGATACAAGAAATGGTACACATACAGAGAACTGGAAGTGAAAAATGAGTTGAGAGTTTGATAGTATGCCTATCAGCCTATACCTTGAACTTGGAAAGTTTGTATAAATATCCAGCACTTATCACTTTGATGCTACCATATCTTCTGATGACCGAGCCACTGTCAGCTGCCTCTTTATCTTAACTGTATAATTCATTTAGCAGCTTTAACTGGGGATTTGTAGGTATCTTTTTCTGAGGATCATACATTCCAGCATCAGATGGTCGGCCAAAATGGTCCCAGACTCCTGTTGAACCCAATACGGTATATCAAAACATGTCTTGTGAAATAGATGATTTTGAATGAAGATTCTTTTTTATTTATCATAGAATGATCTACCTTGAAATTCTGAAGATGTCATTACCCTCGTTACTGAAAGGAAGGCCATTGTTTTTATCTAGCATTAAAACTCAGATCTTTGCTTTCTGTAAAATTTCTTAAAACCACTATGAATTGGTGATGGGTTTAATAGCCTAGCCTGCAGTGCAAGCAAACAGGAAAAGAAAATCACGCACAAGTGAAATAGGACTTTTCTTATAGAGCAAGAGCAAGAAAGTAACCTTTTAACTGCCATTTGAAGCGTAGGGTTTGGCAGACGAAAATCTCAATCAACACAAGGTTAATTCCACTAACATGTTTGTTTGGGCTTAACGCTCGTAAAATACAGGACTGCGTCTGCTTTATCCTCTTCTTTTAGTACTGCGTCTTTCAATTTTGCCCCAGAAAAAATTAGCTCAACCTTCTTCTCCGCGTTACCAAGCCTTTCGTCAGCAATGGGCTTGCCAATGCAAACGGAGAAGTAAAGTTTTACTCTTATTACATACTGCACCATCTTCACACAATTTTCTTATCCAGCCCCACCATGGCATTCATGCTTCGATAATATATACTCACGAGGAAATTCTCCGCAAATTAAAGAAACTAGACTTGAAGTGAAGAGCATATATACATCCTCTCTTGGCAGCATGTTTAGCTCCCAAGAAAGCACTCAAACAGGTTGACATCAACAGCCCTTTTGAAATCGTCAGTGGAGGTAGCTAAAGATACTTGGATCCTTATTGCTTGAAACATCAGCATCGATGTGCATAGCATCAAGCTTTCTATACATGGAGACAGCCAAGTCTGCAGCTTTTTGCAGGTTACATCACAGGGAATGCAAGATATTGAATTTTCTGAGCCAAGTTCTTCACAGAGTTAGAGACCAAGTTCATCTTAGACATCGACAAACGAGAACGAAGACCGACATCATATTGTATAAACAGCCTTGCTGTAATGCTGTGGAATTCTCCTAGTCCACTAGCTCCATCGATATTAATCCCGCCTAAGTCGCCGTGCCTTCGAATCTGCGAAAAGGTTTTACAAAACTGAAGCTTATTTGACTATTGCGATTTGAAACTAATACCCTTTTTAACTCTGAAATTAATTTTATCATGCATAACTTCATATAAATATATATATATATATATATATACCTACTTATTTTCTAGTCAAGACAAATTATTTAATATCTCACATATTAGTAATATCAAATATTTTGTTAAAAAAGCTACAATGATGATGTCATAAAATTTTAGAAATAACATAAATGTCATAATTGATGTGCTAAAAATTGAATTCAAAATGCTAATATCCTTGATTTTATTGGACATGCTCATATAAATCTCTCAGGCATACTATAAGTAAAATTCTCATTAATTTGAAACACAAGCCTAAAAAGATAAATTATACTTAAGAGAGTTGGTTTGAGTGAAAAAAACTTCAATCATTTAAACAAGTAGTCTCGAGTTCGAGTTTTTTTGTATATAAAAAACTTTTTGAGTAGTTATCTCATCTTGTGCATTCGACAAAACCGTGAGGGATTGATTTGAATTTTTAGGTCTAAGATGCTTTGAAGGATAAAATAAAAAAGAAGATAAATTACGGTTTTTTTTTTTTAAGGTCCATTAAAAGCCCGACAACGAGGGGTAGGAATTCTCCACTTTCCATATTTGATATATCATCTATCCATCTATCCTATAAATGATTACATTATCATTATTTAATCATTCCTATCAGTTTTAGGATTGGGGCTTTGAGCTGAAACATTCAAGTGAAAATCAGACAAACATGAGTGAGTTAGAGACAAAACAAGAAGAGGGTGGAATGGAAAAGACAAAACCGAAGAAATACATTCTAGACAGACTGTGCCCTACCAGACAACATCATCCATAAAATACTCTTATTCCTTGACCTGAAGCAGGCAGTCGAGACAAGTGTGTTGGCCAAACGATGGGAAAACTTGTGGGCTTCACTTCCAAACCTTGACTTCATTGGTACAGATCCTGAATTCACAGATGTTCTCCCCTTTTCAACTTTTATCAGTAAAGCACTCTCTAACCGCAAAGATTGCGATGTCAGTAAGTTGACAATCTATTCCAAATGGCTTCTCTATAGTTCTGTAGTGCGTGCTGTCCTTGAATATGCTGCTTCCCATAATGTTAAGCGTTTGCACTTCCTTTACCCTATCTGTTTCTTCCATTCCTTGCTGTTATCTCCCAAGCTTTTGCAGTGTAAATCAGTGGAGACTCTTGAGCTGTTTGGTGTCCCATTTTGTGTTTTACCTGATAACTTCACTTTTAGTTTCAGTATGCTGACTGTTTTGAGTCTCAGCTTTTGTTCTTTCTCTTATGAAAGTGCTTCCTTGGAAGCTGCTGACCCTTTTTCCGGCTGTCCCAATTTGAAGCATTTATGCCTCAAAAGATGCGGTTTTCCTTCTCTAGAAAACCCTGAAAATCTATCGTCTGAACCCTTGTGTGATCCCTCTGAATCAGCTCCGGTCATAAAGGTTTTAAAAGTATCTGGACCCCAACTAATTAGCTTGGAAATTGTGGACCTTGAGTTTTGTTCCGCACCAACACCAATTGATCATTTGAGAATTGAGATTTTCGCACCAAAGCTTGAATATTTGAACTATACGAATAGACATCCTGTTTATCTCTATGGGCACGACCTGTCCTCTCTCATTTTCGCGAACGTTTATGTTTCTCTACCTCCTTATATCCGGGAACAAGGCACATTTGCTGAAAGGAAAAAGGCTGCTTTAAACTTGATCAAAATGTTCAGGGGGCTATATAATGCGGAATTTATCCAGCTTGCTGCTTCGACCGTTGAGGTATTCCTATCCATCTTCACAATGCAAACTTCTGCATCAATTTAATATATATGCTTTAAACTTGCTTGTTAATTTGTTCGTGTATCAATGAAATGATGCAAGAGGTGTTTAATTTCCTCTCTTAACTTTCCATGAATTGAAAAAGTTAAATGCAATTTGTATATATATTGTAATGTGATCTTTAAATATAGAGGGTTATCATACACTTACAGATAAAGGTTCCACGTACACATAGCAATTTGGCTATTTTTCTATAGCATTTGTGTTTTTGGTTTGTTTTCTACGGTGAAAAATTTGCACTTCTTAAAAGTACTGTAATTGCAGTATTCTGTTTGATCATACTCCTTTCCTTCTGAATAAATCTATAGGAATATTCATTTTTATCTTACCTTTTTTTTTTCCCTTTCGAATAACCTATGTGGGTCACATTTCACAGTCTTATTTGCTTTTCTTGGCATAGAGTGTTATCCTTCAATCATCAATTCTATAGTATTTTCTTTAGCATTCATGGTGTTTTTATTATATTTCAGTTTACACATATATCAACTTCCATCTCATAGTTACTATGTTTCCGTGACTGAGAACTTTTTTTTTTTTTTTTTTTAACCTCATGCACAAAAAATTAAATTACTAACAGAACTAATAATAAGGATTTAAATCCATAGTTTCTTGTTGTAAAAGACTACCGTCACTGCGTTACAAGCTATTTAATCCTTGACTATAACTTTTGTATCTCTTGGCTAGGCTCTCAATGTGACTCCCGGTTTGCTAGAAAAGCAGCCTTCTCCCTTACACATACCTGCCATCGTGCACAACTACTTGTGTGGTGACCCATCTGACGCAGAACCTACTCAATCGGTATCTTCAGAGGTACTTGTGTATCAACTCTCTCATTTCTACTTCTAATTTGGCCTTAAAAGCACAGACATAGGCTATTCTTATAAGGTCAAAGCAAATCCTTTCATTCTGAATTTTAAAAAATTCGGAATGAATCAAATCTCTCTGAGTAGGATTCGAATCTACGACTCAGTTAATTAACAGCTGATCCAATTTACCACTGAGTTATTAGGAGCAACAAGAGATTAGATCTCATAGAGTTTAATTTCCATTTTCAACCTACGAATCGATATGAACTCCAAGTTTCCATGGTTTGTTACAGAGGTGACTCTCATATGAGAGGAAGTCTCTTGAATTAAACTTAAATTACAACTATTACCGTATATATGTTTATAGTAATGTAGGATAATTTTAGAAACTCACATTATTAATACATTACATTACATTTATGTGTTTAGAATAATTAAAACGGACACTTCGAGAAACTTATTTTTATATTATTTTAGACTTCAAAATTACTTTCATAAGTGGTAATCTGAAAGCATTTAGCAAATATAGTGATTACCATCTTGAAAACCAAACTTTCCACCACAAACAGACAAGTTCGTAGCTGTTTATTTTAACGTAGTTAATTACTTGTTTATACCATTTACTATTTTCTTGATAATTTGTCAAATATATACTAAAAATCTTGCTGAATTGTGGCTTGTCTCTCTTTTCTTGCAGGAGGAAAATGGATCTTGAAAGCTGCATAATTCTAGGGAGTTTCAATAATGGTGATCACTTTAATTTGGTCCCAACCTTTTCTTTTGCTTGTCTTTTTTTGTTTAAGCAAAGGAATTTTACGTTTTGTGGATTTCTGCCTTTGTTTTAGAATAAAGTCATTGATATTTCTTTCATGCTCTTTTGTTTTTTAGGTCATAATTAAATACCCATATTTCTTTTCAGTGTCAAAATTTCTTCCCAGTCGTCATTTTGAGGCAAACAAGACATGCAACACTTACATGTTTTCTTAACCAAACACCCCTCTTCTGTAGATATTGCTTACAACTACATCTTGAGCACAAATTTGAAACTCATAGAAACTCATATTATCTTTACTCAATTCTTGAAAAAGTGAGATGGTAAGATTTAAACTCGTGAATACTTAATAATAAGATTCTGATATAATATCAAAAAACTATTTTAATTCAAAATGTTAAGTCTGTAAGATAAATTCTAGAACATGATTTAAATAATTCTAAGAATATTGTATAATATAATATATAATATATAATACAATATTCTCATTCACATATTTATTATTCTTTATTGAATCAATCTGTTTTCACAAATCTAAATTGAGCAGTGAATTTGATTTTTAAATCTAAGTTGACACTCTTTATTTCACTCTAGCTTGGAAAGGAACAAATTCATCTTTTTCTTTGTTTTTCATTTTCATGTGCCTATTTGTTATTTGTCTTTGATCAATTGTGAAAAGCCTACTGACACCGTTTGTTTATGTTATTGCATGGTCCAAATCTATGTTTTCCAGCTGCATATTTACTAAGAGTTGATTCTCACAGTGGTTGCGACATCCATCTCAACCTTTTCGTTCTCTGTTCCGGAATAAGGGTTCATATGCTGTGAATTTTATGACTTATCTTCATGAAGAAACCTTTCTTCATTTTTATGATGATTATGCCTAAAAGTACGCAAGAAACTTATGAGATACTATTTATGGTTTCTTTTTATGTAATATTAATTATGCGATAAGAACCCTAGCTACTTTATTGGTAAGTCACTTGTGTTGATGAATTTCTTTTCTTTTTTTGGAAGCATAGCCATGACAGAGATTGATGTTCTTTTAATTATAAAGAATCTCTGGAAATCAGGATTAAGAAAGATTGTTTACATCCGTGAGGATCAGGTTCTTGAAATCATCAATTCAGGACTACCCCTCTATCAATGTCAAGATGCTTTATCTTCATAGCTAAGTTACTCATCTTAGGTCTTATTTGAATCATTAATATTTCTACGTCTGGGTTGGCATGGTATAATTAAGCATGAACCAAATGGAGTGAAAAAGAGCATGTGAAATTAGGTATTTGGTTATTAGGAATGAAGTGGTGAGAATAAGAATGTAAATTTTATTCGAACCTTGTAATTTTTTGGTTGAAAAGAATGAAAAAAGAATGTGAATGGGGAGTAAGAATGAAAATAAAAATTAAACATGGTTTCATTTTCAAGTAGAAGGTGAAAATAAAAAGAAGAAACAAGAATAAATTTTTTTCTCAAAATAATAATATATAATTTTTATTTATTGTGTATCAACTATTTCTATCACTACAACCATCATCATTGGTGGTGCATTGTTATTATTCCACCTACCACTACCAAAACCATAATAATTATCATCATTTTTACCACAATCACCTCCATTGGCGACAGTGAAAAAAAAAATTATTGTTATTATTCTATTATTATTGCTCTTCAACCACCACCATTGATGGTTGTGATTAAAAAAAATATCATTATTATTATTCTTTCACCATTTATTTTTAACCACCACCATTGATGGTTGTGATTAAAAAAATATTCTTATTAAAAATCAGATATTAAAAAAATTAAATTTTATTTTAATTTTTTATTACTATTTCAAACATAGTATGATAATATAAATGTTATTTCGATTTTTTAATTTTCATTTTAATTTCTGTATTTTTATTCCAAATAGTAACCAAACGACACCTTAAAGTTTAAACTTGTTTTAAAACATGAAATTAGGTGGGCTTTTTTCTTTTGTTGAATTTGCTAGAATTGATATAAAAGGTTTTGAAATTAATACCATTTGAAGAGAAATTTAATTTCGATTGATACATATGATAAGTTTACTCTTACGGTCAAGTAAAAAAAAAAAAATTAACATAAGATTAGATTGAGTTAAGATTGCTATTGAATTTTTTTTTTTTTTTTTGGTTCACCAATAAAGGTGTTTTTGGACCAATTTTCACGTACCTTAATATTAATCCTCTCCGGACATGACTAATGGACACTTCTCAAAGCACGGTTTCGGGAATTCTAAGAATAAATTCTTAAGAGTCCCGACCACAAGGATAGAAAACAAATAATTATTACAATGGAAAAAAAATAAATTTCGTAGTCGGTTTTTACCCAATAATGGTTACCCTTAATACTTCACATTAAGGTAATAAATTAAAAGAAAAAAATCATCACAATCTACCTTACTTACTCATTATATAAAAGTCAAATTCATAAATAATTATGACAATGGATCTCATTTTTATATAAAAAGCCAGATACGAGGAGTATCTATTAATATTCTAGTTCTTATTTATTATTATTTTTTTAAATTTTTTTTAGAATTAATTTCTAGTTCTTAATTCTTTAAAAGAATATTATAATTTCTAGATCTTATAAGATTCGTGACGAGCCGGGCTCAGGCAGGTTTCTAATGGGCCTGAAAACATTGGATTTACTACAAAAGAGCCCAAATGAAAACTGTTATAAGACGAATATTATAATCAATGCATTGATTGAGCATGGAAAGCCCAACAGTGGATGAGGTAGAAGAACGCAGCAATTCCAACAAGGTCAAGAGAAGAAAGAGGAAGCCAAATTTGGTGGATGAAGAAGAAGATGAAGAGAAGGATGCCAAGAAGAAGAAGAAGTTAGCAGAGAAGAAAAGATCACTTCTTTCTGCTACTTATTTCAATAAGTTAGATGAGGCTTACAAGAGGAAAACAGAAGATAACACATGGAAGCCACCAAAATCTGAATTTGGGTTCTTGCACAAACATGCACACGACCCTTGGAGAATTTTGGTCATTTGTATGCTCATTAATCGCACTGCTGGTACTCGGGTACTGTTTATGGTCTCAAACTTCTATATCTCTTCTTTTTTTCTGTTTGTGTTGTTTTCATGGTTCTAATTTCTTCATGAAATTGAAATCTGAGTGTATTTGTCAATTTTTAACTGTTAATGTACTATTGATAATTGGGTTTGATTTAGAATATTGGTTTGAGTATTAACAATTGAACAGCACTGGGCTTCAGATTAAGCAAAAGAAAAAGAAAAAAGAAAAATTGAAACTTTATGGTGCTGTTTACATGTAAAAAATCTTGGAGATTATTTCCCTGTATAGGTAGGGGTGGAGATACATAATTTATGTACCAATTGGAATTAAATCTTTTTAATTCTCTGACAAACAGCTTCTGCAGAAATTGGGAAGTTTTTTTGTTCCTTTTGTTGTGTGTGACTAAGTTGTATACTTTTCCCATTATGTTTTTCAACAGAACTTAACTTAATTGTAAGCAAACTCAAAAGTCGTATGGTTTTTGAATGCAGTCAAGTCTTTCCCTGGACAATACACTTCCCTAAGCATTGGAAGTCGGTCTTGCCCTCATAACTATTATGCTTATTGGAGTGTTTTTTATGTTCTTGTCCCCTGATGAGGTTAATATACTGCTCTGTATTCTTATCCTTTGAGGATCATGTAAAGTGTTTATGTAGAGAATCTACAAACAAACAGCGTTCGAGATTCTCTAAAGAGCTAGGTTCATTAATATATTTGGTTATGGAGATGCCGTTCTGATTTCAATTGGAATTGTTCCTTCTTTGGCCTTAATTAAAATTTTTCTTTATAGTTGTATTGGTTCATTTCTTTTGTTAAAAACATCAGCCTTTTAGTGTTGTAGCAATTGATCGTCCAATGGCATGTGGTATTCTATTTCACTGCTAATTTTATCTATCTTGTTAGGTCTATCTAATTAGAAACCAAGCATAATCAGTTCATGGCTTGCAAATTTATATTGAACAGGTAATTAGGAGTCCATATAGGTGTAGATTTGCTTTTTACGATGAGAAAAATCCTGGCTTTCGTTCATGGCTTGCAAAATTATTTGCTACCATTCTAGTTCCTCTAATACTTGGGTGGCAGCTCCCGATGACAACCATCAAATGTTATTCAAAGATTTCGTTGATACTGTGAACTATGTCATCTTTCCCAGTGCCAAACAAGTTGCTGGCCATGTATATGTATATATACAAGCAGACGTATCTGCATGTGTATGGCTTTTAGATTTTGGACATCATATCTAGTTGGATTTGATTGGTAAATGCTGTTATTATTGCAAGATATGGGACACGGGAATAAATTGAAGGAGAGGGCCTGTACTTGTTATTGTGTCTTAGCATTAAACATTGAATTTTATATTTTCGAATAGAAGTTTTTGATTGACCCTCATGAATCACAAGCTTTGCCTCCTCACACGGAGAGATTTGGTTGGCTTTATTCCCTTTGAATCCCTACCCATCCTCTCAGCCCCTCATTGGGCCTCTGGATAAAGATTGTTTTGGTTTTGTGGCATTGCTTCATTTGGTTCTTGATGTGTTCTTCTGAGTAGCAATCCTAAAGTGTTTCTTAATTTTAATTTTGTTTGATAACATTTCCCCCTTCTCCTCTAATTACCTGGCAGAAAACTTGTTTGAATGTAGCTAACACAAACCCTTTCCAGTGTTCTTCATCTGTTTAATTTCAACTTGATTTTAAGTCTCATGTCAAACATGAAGGGACCATTGCATACAGCATTTATGCAGTAAGTTTGCTTAAAATAGAACTTATCTATACGCAGGCTGAAAAAGTAGTAACAGACCTCTTCACTCTGTGTCCTGATGCAAAGGCTGCAACTGAGGTGACTGAAGAGGAGATTGAAAGAGCAATAAAAAGTCTAGGCTTACAAAGGAGGAGATCAAAGATGATACAGCGATTCTCTCGAGATTATTTAGGGGAGGACTGGACGCATGTGACACTCTTGCATGGTGTTGGAAAGTAAGTCTGTAATTTTTCTCTCTTTTTTTCGTCACAGTTGATACTTTCTTCCTTTAAATTTATCGAGGGAAACTCTTATTAACTTTTCTCTAATTTCTTATAGGTATGCTGCTGATGCATATGCAATATTCTGCACAGGAAAGTGGGAACGGGTGAGACCGAACGATCACATGCTAAATCATTACTGGGAATTTCTCCGTAGCACCAAGAACGCTTTGTCATAGGTCTTTTGTTTATGTTAGATGAGTGAGTTGTCAGTTTATAAGCTAAATGTATGCTAGCAAATACATGATAAAATGCTGATCAGAGGCACAAAATTTGTAGCGGGTTGAGTTATGAGCTTAATCAGGAATCCCCATATTTTGAGATTGCATGAACTCAGGTTGAAAAATCACCTCAATGTACACTGTTGCTTCCTTGTTGCATCATTATTATGAATTTATGAATCCTCGTTTTTTTCTTCGTACTCGTTTTCTATCTTCTGGTAAGATTTGGACAGGGTTTTGCACTAATTTGATTTCACAAAGAAGTTGCAAATTGGCCTGATTTTACTAGAAAAGTGCAGCATATATATCATGAAAAGGTATATAATATTTCTCTTACCAATTTTCTTCCTTCGACTGGTGCATGACACGTTTCAATCATTTGAAGGGGACCCTATAAGGCCAACTTCGACTCATTTCCCTTTCTAGGAAGGAGATTAACAGCTGTAACACGTAATAAATAAACAGCTATCCGGATATCGGAAATGAAAATGGAGTTTAAGTTCTGGAATTGGAGCAAGCAACAACAGACCATTTCGACTGGGACATATATTCTACATCATAGACAGTTCAATTCCAATCTTTCTTATATCTGTCTTTAACATCTTGATTCCAGACAAGGTTTATAATGAGAATTTCGGGAGTTTCCACAAGGCATAGCAAGTGTATCTCTAGACGAAAAGATTTGCGATCAATTTTTGCATTCGGAAAAGACCCAAATATAGTTTGTCCACAAATCGACACCTGATATGCCACATTTAATTTGACCTAAAAATTTGTCCACAAATCGACACCTGATAGCAGATCTCTTAAAATAGATGTTGCATGATTCCTCGATAAAAAGTGTTTCGTTCTTGAGGATAACATTCAGCTGCCAGTGTAGCAAGAAATAAAAATCCGGAAATACAAGAAAGAGAAATCCAGAAAAACTAGAAAAGAAAAAAGGATACTAGCCGAGACCAACAAATAAAAATAGATTGCCATGCAAATATGTTCATCCACCTAAGATGTAAAGTAACAAGGTTCAAAACGACAAAAAGCCACACAACATGAACAAAACTAACACCAAGGATGCCTTGACGTTCTAAAGTCATGAATCCTTGGAGCTCTTAATTAGATTCTCACTTCTTGGATTTCTTGGTTCCCCTGTAAGCACAAAAAAAAAAAAAAAAATCAAGATGTTGAACCAGCACAATTGGTTCAAAAGAAATCATGACGTTCTAAAATAATTATTCAATGCATGCATCAGTAAAAAAATATGCTTACTGGGTGGGTAGAGGTGCAGCAGCAGCAGGTGGTGCATCTACAGGTTTCTCTGCCCCAAGTCCCTGTGAGGAATCATCAAAACATAAAAATTTCAACCATCCCATGCAATCACTAAACAAGACTAAGACTTCTGATTTGATTCTTTTATAAAATTGGGTTTAAAATAAAAGAGAAAATCATTTAGACTTGTACAGATTGAAATTGACCCATATGCATCATAGTTACCACCTTATATGAGTTTAAAGCTCATAAAATAATTTACTAAAAATGCACAACATTATGCGACTGAAAGGACCACACAGAAGCACGTTCATGATATTCCCAAGTTCCTAACAAGCAACAAGCAAGTCATATCCAAGGTTACTGTATATCTTACCAGGGCCAGTCGTTCCTCCCTCCTAGCAAATTTCCTTTCTCTGCTTGCCTTGTTCTTTGCCCTCTTAGCCTCAAACTGGTCAGACAAAGTCTTCTCTCTTGCTTTCTCAGCCTTTGACTTGTGAATGCTCTCCATAAGAACTCTCTTGTTCTTGTAGACATTACCTTTCACCTTCATGTACATGTCATGGTACATGTGCTTGTCAATCTTCTTTGACTCCCTGTACTTACGGAGCAGACGCCTGAGGACACGCATTCTTCTCATCCAGAGAACTTTAGTTGGCAGCCTAGCCTCCCTTGTACCCTTGCGCTTACCTAGAGTAGTTTCAAAAAGCTTTGCAGTAAGCAAACTTCTCCAACCAAAACCATATATTAAAATCAACTAACCAAAGACAAATTAATAGGTATATATTTTAAAAAATTTAAGTACATATTCTTTTCAAGTTCTTTAAATTAATCAAATTCAGTACAAATATTGGTGAAAGTTGGAGTGGGAGCAATACAAATAGAATAAAAAAAAATTTACATTAACTGTAGCCTACTGAAAACAAAACCATAGTTCTTTTCCAAACATATTTTATGGAACTCCATTTTCCATTAAGTCCTAAGTCTAAAAAATACAACAAAATTGGTAATACACTCTGGAAATTCAAATGGTTCAGATGAAACATACCATAACCAGAGTGCCTTCCCTTTCTCTTGGCTTCATTCATGCGACGGGCACGAGAGCGAGAGTGAATCTTTGTTGGCTTCCTGATGATGAAGCCATCCTTAACCAGCTTTCTAATGTTTTGGCCTGCATCGTACACATGAATTTATTGCTGTAAGTAATACATAGCAGTTTCCATCACAACAGATATCGAGGGCAACCAAAGCTGACATTGGAACAACAAAACTAAATCAAATAATGACAAAGATGGGTTGTATATTACTCACAAAAAACTACATTAAAAAAATTCAAGGTACTTTACAATTTCCAATAAATTGAAGCAATGTTAAGTATAATGCTACATCCCAACCCATTCTGACCAAACAATAATAATAATAATAATAATTCATTTATTCATTTTTAAAAAAATTAATACGATATATACTACTATATTTTTTGTTTCTCATAAATTAATAATTAAAACTTTTATAATTTGGCAAGCTCAACATCCAATGCGAGACTGAGGGAGCTATCAAACATAGCTTTAACTAAAAATTCAACAGCCCCAAAACCATATAATGACAAAATAAAAACATATCGATTGAATTCAGATCCTAAAACCCATCTTATCTATTAAGAACTCTACATAAATACAGTTAAAAAAATAACACCTTTACTAATCTAAAGAGAATGATTGAATAACAAGTGATCATTACTATTATTATTATCCGATATAAAAAATCTATCTTGAAAGATTGATTCTTGGACTACTACATAATTTTGGCATCATTATTTCTAATAGTGGATCTGTTGTTATTACGAATCAAAATCAGTACTAAAAGAAACAATCTATTACCGTTACCATGAAAAATCGAAGCCAAGTTAAAAACAAAAGACCACTAAAACAATGATATATGAGGTAAAGAGAGGGAGAAGGTATTTACGAGAGTTGGCCATGGAGATTTCATTGCATTCATTTGGATCAAGCCAAACCTTGCCCTTCCCGCACTTGAGGACGCTAGCGGAAAGCCGCTTTTGGAGCTTCAACGACACCATCTTCTCTCTCCCTCTCGGTTTCTCTCACACTTCGCAGCTGAGAGGATAACAGAAGCCTCTAATGGGAAGTGGACGCGGCTGTTTATAGCACGCCAGCCCTAGTTTCAGTAACTCCCCCGCTAGGGTTTTTCACTCTCTGGGCTTGTTTGGGTTTTAAGATCTTGGGCCTTACTTTTTCAATAGGGTTTTTACTTTGGAACCATGAGGCCCATGTTCAAGTAATAAGCCCAACTAAATTGAATATATATATGTAGTCCAGGTATTATTTGACCGATTTTTTAGGATAAATAGAACAAACCTTCCTGAATTTTAATTTTTTAAAACTCATTTTTTCAATTTTTAATTTCGCATTTGAATTTTTTTAATTTCATATTTCTTTAAAAAATTTATTCTATTTTTTTTGTCAAAAATAACAATTATATAAATATCTCAAATATGGAAATTATTTAGTAAGATTTATTTGAGACTCTTTAAAAAATTTAGAATAATAATTATTTTTTTATTCCAATTCTCTATTTTTTTATTTTTTTAATAAATAAATAAATACGCTTTCCAATCTTGAAACTATCTATGATTTTTTTAGAAAATAAATTGGACTTTTTTTCAATATATGTGCAAAATTTCAGTTCAAAATACATAGAATTAAATGTTTTCAGAGGGATGGTGAATTTTGAAAATCATAAGATGAATTAAATCTAAATAAATAAAAAATTCAATAAAGGTCAAATTTAAAATTTAAAATTTAGAAACTAATTTTAAAATAAATTAAAATTCAAAAGAGATTTGACATATTTAACCGACTTTTTTATGCACGAATATCAGGTTTTTTTTTTTTGTCGTCGTCAAGTCTCGGATAGATTATCATGTACTATTGGTGTATTTGAGAGAAAAAAACTTTTTCTCACAATTTTGCCTTTTGATTTGAAATCAGAATAATAACATGGGTGATAAATCTCTTTGAAACTTTAACGAAATTTTATTATATAATTGAAAGATATGTGAATATTTATGTCATTATTTTAATTTCTTTTTCTTCACGATAATAACACATGTCCTTCTTCATTATTGCGAAGATTTCTTGCCAATTCAGGATTGGATACACATGCCCAAGTTTTGAAGGATTAACAAAAGAAGAGGTTTTATGCATGTTAAGTAATCCAAATATTAAGTAAGGAAAAAAAAACGGAGCAAACCATTGGGATTATAATCCACGAAGATGCATGTGAAATTAAACATATTCTTAATTTGTTACATGAGCACACTTTCCACCGTTGAATCTGAAAGAAAACAAGAGGAAGAGAGCAGAACATCATACATATTGAAATTATGAAACTATTTTTTTCCATCTATACTTTCCAAGCTCTATGCCTGATTAATATTACTTCGATCGACAACTTTGTGTTTCTCCTCTTCTTCTTGTTGCTTCAAAGTCTCATAAAGAGGAGCATTTTTTGTCTCAGGCAGCCACAAACTTATAGCTCCACTAAAAATGGAGAGGACCCCAAATATGATGAAAGAAAGAGATGGGCTTAAGCGACCAGCAGCAACTAGCAAAGGTGCTATAGAAGCACCCAACATCAAGGATTGTCTTGATTGTGACAGAGCAAAGTTTCTCACGTTGGTTGGGAATAGCTCAACACAATAAATATACAAGACATCAAATGCTATTGAAGCAGCCATGAAACCAATTCCTTCAATAGCCAGTTGAACCCAGCTCCCAGCACTGGATTTATCACCCGTCTTTGCGCGTTTTCCATGAGCGAAGATGATGCAGAGAAGGCATGAAATTCCAGCCAGAAAAGCAGATAGCGAGAAGAGGAGTCGCCGGGTAGTGAGGCCTAATAGGATAGTACCAAAGACGATAGCAGGAATTTCCATCAATGCATTGAGCCCAACAGAGAAATAAAGGTTGAAATTCAGGTTCTCAACGTTCAGTTGAACACCGTAGTAAACAAAACCAACTCCAAAACCTGCTACCATGACTGTGATCATTCTTTTAGCAGCCCATTTTGTCCTCCACAGGCTTTCTTTTGTGCATGTTTTTGTCGACGCTTCATTTTCGCCACTCTCATTAGGTGCTGATGGATTTGCAAGACACAGATTTTCAGGCAGTGTCCTGCCATTGAGCCTGGCGAATTTTTTCAAGACATCGAGAGCTTCTTTGCTCCTTCCCCGAACGAGAAGCCAGCGCGGAGATTCTGAGATAAAAGGGAAGAACAAGGCAGAGTAGGCTAGTGGGAGAAGTGATATGATTTTGTATAAAACCCTCCAATTATTTCTTGTAGGATAGGCAATTAAAGGGAGGGAAAAAAATCCTGCAGTGAAGAGAAAGAAGCCGTATTGGCTAACAGGACCGCGCCATTTGCGTCCGACAACTTCTGTAGCTAGAACAATGCAACAAATTGCTATTCCAGATCGAGAAAAACCATTTGCGAATCGAAGCAACGCGTATATCCAAATGTTCGGTGAGAGGGATGTGAGAAAACCAGTGACAGAGGATGAGATACATGAGAGTAGCACTGTTCTTTTTCGGCCGAGTGATGCGTCTGCTAAGTAGCCAAAAAATGCAGAACCTGCATGCCAAAAAAAGCAATTCATAACAAAGTTGATCACCGTAAAAAATGTAGACTAAGGTTCTTAATATGAATTAGGACCTTCTCATATTCCTTTCTGTTGTGTTTCGTCACATGGTTATATCTAAAGTATTGAAAATGACATAATTTAACTACTTAATTAGGTTGGTACCTAAAAGAGAACCAATAAAGAACAGTGACGCAGGTATAGCAGCAAGGAACTTGCGGTCACAAATCAGACCCCATTCAGCGATAGTGGAACTTTGATGGCCACCAACCCATTCCCAAGTGCCTGGCATGAGTCCGCAAACAGACGAAACGTCACCTTTGCTGCTACTAGACATGCACAAAGACGACGATGAGTTATTTATGCATCTCCAAGCTGTTGGTTGGGCATCACTGAAGATGGTAACCAATGTGTTCTGTGAATCAAATACCCATGCTAGGGAAACCAAGAACACATGTATTAACTGTGACCACCCGAAGGATCCTACGTACTCCTCTACCACCTCCTCCACTGTTAGCACTAGGTTTCTAGGTGGTGGTGGTGCTACTCTTTCTACTAATTCTATCTTTCCATGCTCAAGATTTTGTGCTGATTCTTCCATTTCTACTCAAATTTCTAGTTTAGAAATGTTTGGTTGAAGACCGCCAATGTCTTGCCTGCTATCTTTGCCATTTTGTCGATCTATATATAGCCGTTAACTTTGACACGAGTTCTAGGTGCAAAATATTAAACAAATAAAATACTCAAGATCGTGAAGTGTTTAGAAAATTTTGAGCAGTACGTACTCGTTACTAGTGTTTATTAGTCAAAAGTTCATAATAATAAATAAGCAAACAGAAACCAAGTTCTGTGAGGAAAATTGAGATCAACATGGCTTCTATAATTCTTGACGCTTGGGTTCAAATGATAATTAAAGGTTTTTTTTTCCTACATTTGTAATTTGTATTTTTGAATTTTTTTTTATTGAAACTCTCTTTTAAAAAAAATATATAAAACTCTTTACTCTTCAAGATTTATTGCTTCAAATTGTATGTTATAATGCCATCAATGAGTAATTAATATGTGATCAAGTTTTTTTACTTTACAATATTACGTGTTTATTATTTATTAACACATTATAATAGAAAATCTAAAATAATAAATCTCGAAGAATAGATGATCCAATAAAGTTTTAAAAAATTCAATTAAAAAATTCAAATAATACATAAGATTAAGTATAGGATAAACCAAATAATACAATGTTCTCTATGTTATTATTCTTCAAACGTAGACTGCAAAAAGAAATTTCTTCTAAATATTATATCTCATTGAATTTGAATGACTTACCTAAAATCTAACAAAAAGGAATTTAATGTAATGAAAACTAATCCAGGAATATCATCTATTAAATCAAAGAAAAGTCAAGTCTAGAAAAGAACATGCAGTCACGGGAAGAAACAAAGTTTATTCGTAGGAGGCCATGCCTTCCCTAAAATTTGAAAACTTTAACATTTTAGTCCTAAATTTTGAAAGTTTTTAATTATATCTTTCAATTTTACACGTTTTGCATCTCTAAAAATCAATTATTTTCTTATTCCTCCTCCAAGTTCTAATTTTCTGGTTCCGCCCATGCTGTAATCCATCCAATTTGTTAGAAGTTTCCTAGTTGGCATGAAAAGGGAATGATGAAGTGTAACCCACCAAAAAAATAAAAAGCATGATAAAAATTACGTGGCCAAATTTAATCCTCAGAAATCTACTGCGGGAGAAAAACTGAAATCATGTTAGTGACTGGTCCATGCAATTAGCACTTGTTCTTTGCCAAATCTTGGTGACTTGATTACTTATTTTAGATGTTAAATCAAATAAAGATGGATTAGTATGAAATTTTAAGTTTGGAATAGAAGATCCATAAGGAAAAAAAAACTTATTGGCAAGCATGATACGTTGCTGGGATCTAAATCAGACCAGACATAACATAAGATCTACATCACATCAGACATATCATAATGTTGTTCGGTAATGAAGTCACCAAGATTTAATATCCTCTCGCTGTCGTTAATGCGCAGCTTTTCTTTTATTCGCTGTCGGTAAATAGGTTTGATTTTTAAAAATTTATATAAATTGGTTATATTTGATTTATACTTCAATATTATTTAGTATATATATTGAAAATATTATAAAATTCATAAAAAAAAATTGATTTCAAACAATACACTTTTTTTTATCCTATTTATCTTATTAAAAGATTTGGCTTCAAACAATGCATAAAAATAATAATTTTATTTGACCTATTGGATATTCATCGTCATCTGCTCATCTAATCTGATTGGATCAAACTTTTATTCGTTTGATTAAAGTAAAATCATACAAAATCGAAATTGATTTTATTGAAAATGAGTTGATTTTCCCGACCTGCTATTCGATACATATATAATCTTTTATACATAGAATTGTACTTTAAAACTTTATTTTATGTTTTATTAATTAATTTATTTAGAGATGATGTTGACTTGTGATTGTGTGAATGAAGATTTATTAATCTTGACGCTTTAATTTTTTGAGATGCGATTTAATGTCATTTCTAATAATGATATATTTTTTTTTTCAAAAAAAAAGCAAACTGGATTCTGTCATGTTCGTATTTCTAGAAGATGGATAAAACTCACCATGTGACTAAACCTGAAAGGATTAAGTGACGAGTGGACTAGCGAATCGATCCAATTCGTTAGCTAGCATCCCTATTCGGTAGGAATCTAAATCCAACCTGAAGTTATATGATCATCCAGAACCAGAACCAGAACCAGAACCATCCACAGTTTATCAAGCACACTGCTAGTATTGCATTGAAAAAGAATAACTCCACCATTGAAATGCGTAGCTGGCAAACCAGACGCTAGTGCACGTTGCCTTTCTTGTAAACAAGAAATCCACTACCAACAGTTGAAAGAATATGTGGTAATATGATCGTGTCCAAAGTGTGGGGAAAAGGATTTTGGTGGCCACACAATGCACGAAGATGACATTTGCCCAATAAAATTTGAAGTCTCTCTCTCCCTGTTTAAATGCTACGTGACATTAAGCCATTAACAACACCGAAGGAAGATGGAATTCCAATGAGGCCTATAAGGCCTACTTTGTGGCTCAGTTTGCTCTGTTTCATGCTCTCGTGGAAAACAATATTAATCTGCGAGCTGCAGCTAATTATAGCCCCACAAAGCTCTAATTCAATGAACATCTCTATTTTGGTTGCTTTATTATATAATATGGTGCAAAATACCTCTGGAGCAGAATAGACACTCCATGAATTTATCCAAAAGTAAACAAAGTAGAATTTTCAATTAGGGGAAAGCTCGTTTTCCCAAATGTACTTCTCTTCTTTGATAGCTTCTTCCTCTGTATTAGGTGCATTAATAAGAAAATATAGTGGGTGGTGTCTTTGTCGTGCGTTATTATCTACCTTGGAGACATGTTTACCACTGAGGAAGATGGCATTTCATAAATAATAATGCGATTAGTGGCTGTAATCAAAGCCTTCCTGCTTTACCAACCATCCTCTTTCTATACGTAACATGTGTCTTTGTTCCCTCTTTTTTAGTTATTCATACAAATGGTGCCTTCCCACTGCCTAAATACGAGAGAAGTTTATTTTTCTGATCCGGTCAAAGGCTAACTAGTCATGCCGAGTACTATAACATAGGTTTCACTAAGATTGGACCCAAGCCCAAAGGCAGGTATAGTTTTTAATCACGTTTTCATCAAGCAGAGTGTCGGACTAAAGACAACCGAATTTGCATCAATGCATGCAGGTCTCGAGCCCAGTCCAAGACTATAAAACCCAACCCAGACAAATCAGGCCAGGCATCTCAGTAGAGGATGAGCCGATTACCCACGCTACACTACGGATCCGATAGAACAAAATTATTTTAAAATTTAAATTTTTTTCAATTATAATATTTTTTAATTAATTTTTCTCATTTTTTTTGAATTTTCTGATAAATAAACATAAATTATTTTTCTTTATAGATTGATTTTAAAATTAAAAATTGTAATAATTTTAACTAAAATATTAATCAAGAATTGAAAAAAAAATTTAAAATATAATTTTCATAATATTTTATGCTAAAAAATAAAGTTATAATCAATGGGAAAAATTTTACAAAAATTAACATATGAAAAAAAAATTCTTATTCAATGCCGATGAAATAATTAATTTTTAAAATTATCCGTGCAACGCAATAGATAAATAGAACAAAATCATTTCAAAATTTTATAATTTTTTCAATAATTTTTTATTTAATTATTACTATTTTTTGTGTGTTTTTCATAAATTTCTGCTTGAAAAAACATAATTTATTCTCTTTTTTTTTTTTTTCGTGGATTCTTAAATAAAAAATTGTAACAATTTAAATATGAAATATTAATTAAGAATTCAAAAAAAAAATACTTTAAGATTATATATATATTTTTTCATAAGAATGTATCCAAAAAATAAAGTTATAATTAATGTATAGACTTGCATAAAAATTAACTAATGAAAAAATAAAATTTTATTCTTATTTAATGTTGGTGAGAAGATTTTTTTTTTTTAAGTATATGCATTTGATCTATGTATATATTTATTTACAAAATAATCAATAAAATTAGCATAAAAAACAATATTTGAATAATTGGTTGGCTCCTTTAAAAAATTACTTTAATTATTTTATTTCAAATAAATTGGTTATATAATGTTAAAAAATATTTATAGTAAATAATTTGTATTATGTTGAAAGATGTACAGTTAATTTTTAATAAAATCAACAATTCAATAATTTTTTAATATGTCTTAACTATACCTAATAAACCGAGACAAATTATTTAAAATATACATTTAACCTTTTAGAATAAAATAATTATATATTTATATATATGCAACTATCATTTAAAAATTCTAAGAATTCATGATATATATTATACCAATTTATTTTTGAAAAAAGAAAAAACAATCATGTTTTAAAATTTTATTCTAAAATTTAAACATAAAGAAAAATAAACTATATAATATCAGTAAATAAAATTTCATATAAAAAATATTAATTGGATAAGAATTTTCATAAAAAATGATAAACTCAAATAATGAAATTTAAATAATAAAAGTAATATAAGTCTGAAGTATATGTTAATTTTAAAATATAAAAAGATATATTATATAATCACCAGTTTATGTGAAAAAAAGTTACAATTGATTTTTTAAAATTTTAACACCCAATTAAATTAAAAGAAGAACATAAATTGATTGGAAAAAGCAAAGAAAAAAATAAAATTTCAAAATTTTAACACCCAATTAAATAAAAAAATAACATAAATTGATGGAAAAAAGTAAAGAAAAAAACTAAAGGAAAAAAAAGAAGGTATGTGTAGTGCATGAGTTAGGGGATTAAAATTTTTATTTTAAATTTTTTTGGACCAAAATGAAACAACTTAAAAATTACAAAAATAATAATTAAAAAATATATTAAAAAATAATTTATTTACTACAAATATTAAATGGACTGATATGTCCTTTTTTTTTTAACAGGGTAAAAGTATCTTATTTTAGTACTAAAATCTTTAGTATAATATATATACTTTTTTCTTTTGAGAAATACATGTTACATAATTGTTAATTAATAAATTATGTTATGTGATAGTAATATTTTACATAATATGCATGTGCTTATAGACATAATTATTTGTACAAAAAAAAAAGGCATTATTTTTTCAAATTAGATATTTTAAACTTTAGAAATAAGTAATGAAATTGTTTAAGTTTTTTCACGAATTTCTTAATATAAATCAAATACTTCACATTTCCAACCATTACTTCTTATGATAGCATTTAAGATTTTGTGTAGCAAATGCTCCAAATGCCCCCTCATAAGGACTGATTTGTTCAGGAATAATTACATTTTGATAAATAATAGCATCCTTTTTATCCTAATCAGCAAGATCAAATGTAGCAGCAGGTCATGAGCTTACTGCGTTTGGAAAACGCGTGAACAAATGACTCAGTATAAAAGCAAGTAAGAAAGGCAGGATTAGCAAGGAGGGAAAACGTGGAGGGCCAAAAAAAAAAGGTACTAAACACCGTTCAAATGAACAGGCATTTTCCTGTTAAAAACCTCAGATCTTTTAAGTTTATAGTAAATTACGACTAAACCTGATTTATCATTAGGCGAAAAAATCGTAATGATGAACCAAAACCACTGAGCAGAACGAGAAAAACAGAGTCCAAGCATTTGATTGCAGCAATCAAAGAGATAATTCCCCACTCTTCAAGAACATGAAAGCAAGTTCATGGGAGAGCCAAGACATGAATGTCATTAGATTGAATGAATAGGAACACAATCAGATTGAAATTTTTGGTTGAGATGAAAGAATGCTGTGTGTGAATGCACATGAGCTTATTAATTTTGAGCATCAGCATACGAGACGTGCTTCACGAGCAATGAACGATCGAGATTTTAACATGACAGAAATGCCAGGTACTAACGTTATCTACATTTCTAATCAGCAAGTGCAAATTGCCAAGAGGAAACAATAATTTCTTTTTATAGAGATTCCTCATCTTCTAAATTAGTACAGGTCCAGTGATTCAAGCACCCTGCGAGCTTGGATCTGTAGAGCCATCAACCTCTGTTCTGGATCTAGTGTTGATCCAAATTGACTGGCTGCCCAAATCAATGAGGCTGATTTCTCACCAAGGAGTCGCCTTACGTCTTCATGTATGGAAGGCATGGGGGCCCTTTCCTTCTCATTAAGATGGCCAATGAGTAGTAGCAAGAACTCTCCACACCTCAACCTAATCAGAGGTAAAAATATGCTTCTTCAGCAGTCAAATCTGAATTGAGCGATACAGCCCTATCTTAAAATTATAAAAATAGGAACTGAAGACTGACAAATCTAAAAAAAAGGATTTTTCTATGCAAACAAGAGAAACAAACAAAAACATGAACTAGCTAGAGTTGCAAATGAGAATTTTCATCTAAAACTGAAAGGAAACTGCTCCTTTAGTTCGTTATATCAACTTGGTCCTCGATTTATAACCCCCTCCCCTTCCTAACATTGACAACAGTTGTCCAACAAAACATACGCCTTACAATTTATTTTTAGGGGCTCTACATGTTTTGCAGGTGAAGAATTCAGTGTTTAATGCTTGAATAAAAATAACTAATAGTCCCTACTCTTCCCGACATTATCATAAAGCCTCAAACTTGTTTGTGTTCATGATAATCTTTTGAGAACAAATCCTTCAAGGGTGGACGTGGGGTAGCGGTTAGCTATCAGCATACTCTTTCACTTTTGTAATCACTGCTATAATTTTGTTGCCATTTGCAAAATTTGTTTTACTTCCAATAGCATCTTAGACATAACAGACAGTAATAACGGCACCATGCTGTACAGTGGAGGTAAACAGGGAAGGAATACCGAAATGATGAAAATTAATAAATACCTGAGATTCTCATCGACTTGCTTGTCCTTAATAACCACTGTTACTTCCTCAATACCGTTACACACTTCGAAATCCTGAGTAAATATAAGTCAAAATAAACAGTGAGGCTATGTAAAGATAAAAGATTTGTTCTTAATCAAATTAAAACATCACGATTGAGTTTACTGCTAGAAAATAAGAACAATATCCTTTATATGATTAACACAACTGTTTTTCCAGGTCATCGTATCCCCCTTAACCAAGTAATTCATGTCCTCTAAAGCTCCATCATGCATTTCATTGACAAGGCCAGAATTGGGCCACATGGAGCTCATGGAAAAGCAAGTCCAAAGAGCAAATCAAGCCTAGTTATTTCATCCAAATTGATGTCGGTTGCACTGGTATCCTCTATGTATGACAGGATAGAATTTCTGACCTAGTCTATGAAGTAGGCCAGTTCAGTAATGATTAGGCTTTATAATCAAATCACTTGAGGAAATACTATAACCATAACTGAGATTAAACTCTAACACGGTTGAAAATATTGATCTTCGAGGTTGCATAAAAGAGGCCTAATTCAATTCAGAACAAGATCGAGAAATCACAATCCAATTACAAAGAAAATAAGATATGAATTAGATTAAACCAGTATAATGTGGACAGCAAAGAAAAATTCCAGGCCTAGTAGCAGAGAATGTTCATAGTGGCAAATAATTTGAGAGCAATGCCCATACACCAAAGTGAAGCAACAAACTCTAAAAAATAAACCAAAATGTGTAACCAGTAAACAAGAGCATCACAGTCCTATGCATAGAAATCAAGTTCTCAGTCTTCAAGCTAGATGAAACCCACCAATACTGGACTCCAAAGCCTATAAGTAAATTTGCACCTAGACCAATACAAAATATAAATACTCATACAAACTACAAAGATAGAAATGCAGTACATTCAAGGTCTGACATAAATAAATAAAAAAAGGAAAAATAGAAAACTGAATAAGTTAAAGTGATCTTTTCTCGGTCCTGCATGAAACATTACATGACCTTTTCTAGAAGATGTCGAGGCTTATCACATGTTTCTTGGTTAGTATGCCGACGTTTAGCGCAACCAAATGGGAAGTTGCCTAGCATTGACTTTGATACTGGCTAATTGCCTAATTTCAGCACTGAACAATGTGTGTCTTGAGCATTAAAGGTAATTCACTGCAAAGCATTGACTTCAACCCAGTGAGGGAGTGTCACACAAAGTATGAGACTTGCTAGTTTAGGCCAACTCATGCTATGATCATCTTTAATCTATGCTTTATGTGTGCATTGGCCTCCTTATCTAATTGAACGAAGCATACTTAGAACTAATTTAATCAATTCAACTAGCTTACAAGTGGCATCCACAAAATAACCACACTATGATCATCTTCAATCCATGTTCCAAAAACAAACGCCAATTGCAATTAATATTAACAAATCAAGCTTCCTGTAAACAATAACACATGAGAAAAAGAGGACAAAACCGATTAGGCAGACTGTTTTAGCATTTGTACAAATGTACAAATGATAACTCTTTGACATTTACTTCCAGAAATTCAGTCAACATATTTCAGAAGCTACACAGTGCAGAGTTTATATAACAGAAATTACGTGACAAAATGATTCCATTCAAAAGATTCAACCTTCATACTACCAAAATCCAAAACGTCAAATAAACTCAAAAAAATATATGTACTAGGGTCGCTCTTCTTATCTTGCATCAGAAATATACGGAAAAAGAAAAACAGAAACTCATTTGCTACTAAATTAAAACATGAAGGACGTGAAAATCAGATGGATTAATAACAAAGAAAGATAAGAGGAAATTCATACCATTTGATTGGGTGATGAATCCAACATTATCGAAATTAAAGCATCTAAACAAGCACCTTTCTCCATTACACCTCTAGTTGACAAAATCCGCATCAAAACCTACAAAAGCAAAACCAAATGCTCAACTATCCCGCGTAATCAAGCCACTAACACACTACAAAATTCATTTTCTTCAATTTAAATTCTGATAACCACCTGAATTGCCTTATACTGATGAGCAAAAACAGTACTCTCTCTATGAAGCAAACAACAACCTTCCAGAACACGAAGCGCAAGCGCGATTTCTGCATCCGTGGAAGGACTCGTAATCCTCATCGGCTCCACGCCAAACACATGACTCAAGCTCTCTACGTTTTGCTCCTCCTCTCTCTCTTTTAACGAATTTTGAAACAAAACCGGAACCACTAAAAAATTCACCTCGTCAATAAAATTGTTAAAAATAAAGCAATAAAAATCAAAGAAGTGATAAGAAACGATTCAAATCGAGTACCTTGAAGTTCCGGTAAAGATTGTGTTTGGCAGAAGAGATTGATAGTGGAATCTGATTGAGCGACAGATCTGAGGAAGTTAAGGAGACAGCGGAGGCCGCGGAGGCGGAGGAAAGAGAATTCGGCACGAGCATCTCTAAGGCTGGTACGGAGCGCGAGTGTTACTTCTCTGTATAATCTTTGCTTCTTTAATGAATTTACTAGCTCGTCCACCGCTGTTGCCGTCGCTGGCGACGGTTGTTGCTGTTCCTCGGCCTCTGACGACGGTTCTCTTGTTTCTTTCAGTGCTGTGCTCCATAATGGCTTCTTTAGATGCATCGTAGATTTGTCTATCGGCTGCCCGTCCTTCTGTTACCTCTGCAGGGGTGCGTAATCGGAAAGCAGCTGCATTTCCTTGGTAGAAATTCACGAAATTGCCATGGTATAAGATGCTCAAAATAACTGGAAATTATTAATCAGTCCTCAAACTATATAAATTATTTTATTCCATCCCTAAATGGAGGTAAGGATACACAGGGATACAATTACAAAGACAGTCAACAAAAAAAATAATATATATATATATATATATATATATATATATATATATATATATATATATTAATTTTCAGTATTAGTGTCAATTTTTTAAATATCAAATATATAATATATATCAGTATTAGTGTCATTTTTTTAAATACCAAATTCGAATACAATAAATATTAATGTTATTATCTATTGATATTTGTAATTAAGAAAATAAAGTTTTCGAGTTATATTTTTTATTTATTGATTTTTTAATTAAGAAAGTTTCAATCTTATTATTATTACTGTTTTTTATATATTGAATAATGCTTTATATCATGAAAAACTTATAATGAAAAAATTACAAACAAATACAATTAATAATTGATAAAATATTTGCCTAAAATTATCAACCAAACTACCGTGCCTGTTTGTGATTTTTTTTCCTATGACATCGCAATTAGAACTATATATATATATATATATATACACACACCAGAATTGATAAATTCTGTTAATAACTTAAAATTTATTAAACAGTTTTAAATATAATTACAAATTAACTTTAGAGATGCATTTGAAACAATCTATATAATTGGGAGACTGATCTGTAGTGTTTTCTACAATAAAATCGGCAACAGCCCGGGCCATTTCTTATGTTTTTCGATTCATTTTCTTTTCGTCTCTCTCCTCCTCACAAGAAACAGCGACCAATTCCAGTGAAAAATCCTCGACCAGATAACGGCGTTGGTATATCCTTTCCATTCCCTCTTTCGTGTTTTTTTACTGGTTTTAACACTTGAAAAGAAATTTGTGAATTTGTGTTTCGATGTGATTTATCTACTAAATTTTGATTTTTTGAATTTGGTTGTAATTGAATGGATTGGCAAGGATGGAAAACAAGCAGAGAAATGGTAATGTTAGCATTTCTTATTGCTGCATTTGCTACAAGTTTGGCTGATTAACCGAATGGAATTCTACTGAATAATTGGTAGCTAAAAGATGATTCTTTCGTTATTTTGAGTGTGATTTTGCTTGAAAGTTTTTCCCTGGCTACGGCTGAAACCGCATTTTAGGAAATTTAAGTCCTGTTAATTTTTGTTTGCGATATTCAGATGTTGCATTTGATTGGCGAGGCAATTGCAATTTTCTACTGGTTAAATTTCTGCATATTCAATACATTTCTGGCCGCTTTCTCGAATGATTTAAACTGCAGTTGGGAGCAGAGTTAGTGGAGTCATCATTGTTGCATCTTATCCAATAAACAGGTGAGGTCCAATGTCTTACAGAAATTGTAAACTGTTCCAGATATAGTCTCGGATTTCAGACTTCTTTTGACTTAAATGAAGGCAGCTCTCTCCCATTTCATAAACCCTATTCCCCATACTAAAAGAATGAGTAGAATTAAGGATCTTCGAATTGGAATTCCAAACACAAACAATCGAGTCAAAAGTACCCCTGGAAACATCTATTGGTGGGCTTAGGAAGCTATTTGCTATTGCTAGATGTCCACTTTAAACAAGTCTATGGCTTTGCAATGGAAGCATCACTTATTACGGTTTAGAGGGAGTCACCAAAAAAAAATCATTCAAGAAAAACTTCTTACATTCTTTGATTTGATACAATTGTTATAGGAATCTGCAGATGTGCTTAACTATCAATCTTCTTATATGTCAGGAAGATGCAAGGATACTGGATGCATAAGGAAGCTTGACTCTTGATTTATGTCCTGCAAATGCTAAAAGTAGTTGACACTAGCAGTCAAACATATGAAAACCTGAGGTGATGTATTGCTTTTGCACAGCTTATGTGGTTGTTATTTTTTTTATTCTGAAAGTAATGAGGGTAGAACTCAAGCCTGAATCTTTTTCTTTCTCCATATTTTCATGGAAGAGTATCACAAGGATAAATGCTAATTGATATGCTATCAAATGATATTCTGAGATAAGGCTCGACATTAGTGGATTTCTTACGAATAAATCTTCACTGTTACTGATGAAACTAATGAAACTTGGAAATTTCAAGGGAACAATGCAAATTGAAATTTGAAACGTGCACAGGTAAAATTTCACTGTTTCCTGAGCTTCTAACATTTTGACAGATGCAATATTGATAACTCAACCAACTTAAGAAAAATGACTGGCACATGATTTCCAGAGGCGAGAAAAATAATTCCACCTACTGTTGTCCACTCCTACTAGCTCCTCATCCAACTGAAACGAGAATAGATATTCCCTATCTCAGTACTCTTCAATGTCACAAGTTACTTTGGCTCGACCATTGCAGAAACTACTTGCTCCTCTTTTCACCTGTTTACATCAATGGCTGCAATAAATTTCCATAACACCATTAGTTTAATCTAAAACTCAAACTATTAGAAACAAGGAAATAGGATGAGTTTCTAGTTCCGTTGTGACATTGCTTTGAACTTGAAGAAAGTTGATCACAGATATGGACTAATAGATATTGTCAGTCAACCATTAGGGTTGGGGTTTTAGGGGATTCATGAAATTGAAACTACATGAGAGATCTAATAATCATAGGAAGCATTTCTTATAATTGTAACTACACTAAGATTCATCTACTTTACATTGAAAATTTCAGATTTCAAATAAGATTCCCTGAAAGGATTGAATGGTCCTTTCTGGGAATGACATAGTAAGTAGAAACAATAAGGCAAGTTAAAGCACGAATGGATATCATAGTTTTACCAAAAGAAGTCAGTCAAAAAATTACCTGCAAATGAATTTGAACAAAAGCCAAGCACTGAAAATTTCTGTCTCCAAACAGGTCTTAACAATTCAAGAACTGTATTAATTTATCGTTGATGTGAATGTTAGGGATGTGAGCTATCTTTGGCCAATCTTCTCCTCTCTCTTTGTCACACACCCTCTGTAAAATTGGGCAGTCTCAAATTTCCAACTCTCTGAGCATTTGAGGCTGTGTATCCCTTCCGGCAATGACATCCGATTAGGACATTCAAAAATTTGTAATAGTGAAAGCTTTGTGAGATGTTCGATCTGATTAGTCAGAGAAGATAATCCCTTACAATCAGAGATTGTCAGCTGTTGGAGAGTGGTGAGATGCTGGATGCTATGAGGCAATGAATTCAGCTCTGAACAACTCCAAATGGACAAATTCTCGAGTGCAGTAAAACATTGCAGTCCCTCTGATAAGGAAGCAAGTTTCTGACAGTCAGTAATCATTAATTTATGAAGAGAAGACAAGGTATTCAATCCGTTGATGAGCAGAGAATGCAGTTCCATACAACCATTTATGTATAATGTCTCCAAAGAATGAAGTTTCCAGAGACAATCAGGCAAGCTGTCAAGTTTATCACACCTTTGAAGGGACAAATGTTTAAGAGCAGAAAGATTATGGAGCTGATCTGACAGGGACTTGAGACTTCTCATGTCAGAAATATCTAAGTGTACCAGGTGTGTATGGTTTTGCATGAGGCCTTCAGGAAGAAGTTTGAGCTCAGGAAATCTACAAATCCGAAGGAATGTAAGAGAAGGAAAATTCACAACTGATCTGAGTAATATTTCACTGCTTTCTGCAATTTCTAATCTTTTGATTGAAGGAATGATTGGCAACTTGACCAGCCTTTGGCATGATCCAACAGTTAATTCACGAAGGCAAGTAAAAATGTCTCTCCCATCAACCGTTTCCAATTCCTCTAAACTATACATTGAATACAAACTCAGCCTGTCCAATGAAGGGAATGCAACTTCCCCATTCCCATACATGTCACTGCTAATATACTTCACAGCATCCATTCCGCTTATATGAAGATCCTTACGGAACTGTAGTTTCCCTAAAGGTGGAAGCTGTTCACATTGGTGACACCATTCAAGCCTGATTTCTACTAGATTTGGCAGAAGCGAGTCCATAATCCAACTTGGAAAAGTTGAGCCGTGATGGTGACTTATCTGTAACTTTTTCAGAAAGAACATCCTCACTGTTTTCAGATCGGTTGTCAAGTCTCCAATATAACCTTAGTGACCGTAGATTTTTCTTAATCAAATTGGCACTTTACGCATCTCCTAGATTTCTAACATTATTAAGATCCATGATGCTCAACTCTCCCTCAAGATGATTTAGTCCTCCGAGCACCCCGATCAGGTTACCATGGTCCTTGCCTACAATGAACATGCTAAGCTTTCGCAAGCAAGTCAATTGCCCCATTCCAACTGGCATAGACCTGAGTGCATCACAGTCTTCAATGTCATGGTATTTGAGGTTTTTCATATTCTTCATATCTTTTGGTAACATATAAAGATAGTAACAATCTCTTACATTTAGAGTCTGCAAGTTTTGGAGGGAAGTGATTGAATCTGGTAGAGTCTTGATGGAGGAGTAAGAGATATTTAGATACTTCAGATGTTTCAAATTACTAATCGACTTTGGCAATTTCTCAACACCTAAGCGACTCACATCGAGGACCCTTAGATGCTTTTGCTCAAACAAACAGGGTAGAAGTGTGCCACTCCAACTGCATACATCAAGAAATACAAGTGAGCGCAATGATTGGGCTTTGAGAAGGTCCTTGTTCCAAGGAGCAGCTGGAAATAATCTCTTACAAACAGCCAAGTGACGAGCCTTGCTAGAAACTTCCAACTCCTTGTTCGGCTCAATCAAACGGCATTCATCTATCATGATTGATTGTGCAAGACCATGGTAAAGGTCGTGCATTTTACATGTTACTGCGCCCCGTATGTTCTCCTTTACATCTTGAAGAAGTGATCTCCAAACTAATCCACTGACAATCACATGGCCCATGCTATGCAAATCCATATGTCCCTTAGCCATTT